TGATGCATTAAGGTAAAAAGAAAAATAAATTTTAAGGAATTTTGAAAGACACATTTTTTTTGTCAATTTTGCATCACGATTTTCATCGACCTGTACCTACTGTATGTGTAGTAGGCGCTAGCTAAAATACCAGTAGTGACATAAACTCTAAGATGTCCAGAGCTAATCAGTACCTTAATATTTCACTTTCCGTTAATATTTGGAAAACACATAACGGTTTCATCAACTCGTTGTAAAGCGCTGGGGAGGTGGCCGGCGTTACCCCTATGCCGGGCTTACCCCAGAAAAATCAACACTTTTTTAAAACTCGATTTTCTCAACCTTATGCTTATTCCACGAAACCGAATTTTTGGGAAAACACGGCCAATGAACTTAGCTAGCTAGCAGGATATCAACATTTTATACAGCACGTATGGTATGTAATAAAAATGAAAAAGAGCTTACTATGCCGGGCTTCCCCCGGCTTCCCCTACCGCAACTTTAGATTATCACGTTTTTAGTGATGGCTCACGGCGGAGGTTAACCCCCCATTGTGGGAGCGCTGTTCCGTTCTTCGTACCAGTAAACTTCACATACTGTGATCGGTTGGCTGCGCCTGGGAGTGTGACCACCACGTCACTGCGCCAACGTGCAGCTTTCCCAGGCGGACATTTTTCATCGCGGCCTGGCCGCCTGCACGGCGCTGACATAGCAGCGCGAGCTTCCGTCGGACGCGGCGGCGCCGGGCTCTCGGACATTGTGCGGCGCCTCCATGGCGCTGGACTTCCGAAGCTCATCTGCCGGGGTCGGAAGCTGGTCGCCGCGGCGTCCTGCCCTCGGCGGTCCGGGCCGGACCGGAACGAGGTCAGCAGCTGACCGGGCGGGGCCGTGCACGGCCCCTGTCGGCCGGCGGTGCGGCGCGGCGCGGTGGGCGGCACTTTGGCAGCCTGCGCGCCATCAGCATTGATGAGCCGACGGTCACAGCTTTTCATCGGGCCGGCGGCAGTGGGCGCTGGTCAGCTGCCAGGTGTCGGTCCGCCCACCGTCCGTAACGGAACGACGGCACCCCGTCCGTCACGGAACGAGGGCACTCCGTCCGGTACTCCACCCGGGGCACTCCGCCTGCACCGTCCGTCACGGAACGACGGCACGGACCAGCCTGACGGCACTCCGTCCGTCACGGAACGACGGCACTCCGCCCATCGCTCCTTCCATCTGTGATCCAACAGCACTCCTCCCGGCAGCACTCCCGATCGGCACCCAGCCCGGAGGCACTCCCGATCGCCTTTCAGCTCGGTGTGTCCAATAACACTCCGTCCACCCGTAAATGACCGACGGCACTTTGCCTGACACGGTCCGAGAGCCTCGGCCCGTCCGCCCGGCATTCGGTCCTGCACCGCTTACCGGTTCTCCGCCCGGCACGGACTGACTATATTCTGTCCGTGACAGGCCATCCCTAGGGCACCCCGTCCGTCCGCAATTGATTGACGGCACTCCGTACGGTATGGGTCACTGGGTGACCAGTGACCACCCTAAACCGACAGCGGGATCACTGAGGCCTGTGTACCGTTCGGCACGAGCTGCCGGCACCGATAGGGGCGGCCCTAAACCGACAGAGGTCATGAGAGACTCTGCACCGCCCGGCACGGAGCGATGGAACTCCGCACGACACCACCGAGGCCAATGTCCGTGAAGTCGGCTAGCGTGTCTGTATAGCTGGGCACGGCCCTCCCTGCTCTCACCTATGTCATGTGACCTAGCGGAGCTACACGTAGTGGTGGCTATTATCACTGACTGCAGGCGACCTACCTATTAGCACTGACCGTAGCCCTTTCCCAGCAGCAGCAACCAGCGGTGCACCGAAGCGACTCGAACTTAGCCGGCTCTGAGTCGCTTGGCTCTGGAATTAATGTCATCGTATCACGTTTTAAAACTCTTAATGTCGTAATAACGTCGCATTACCGACACGTTACCCAGTTCATGTCATCTATAACGTATTAAGATTGCGTTCAATCAGGCGTGTTGTAGGTGTTGTGATGAAAAACAAATACAATTTTAAATGGGCATACCTAGTACGAGCTTATTTGCCTGTACTTATTTGCCTGAGCTTATTTGATTATTTGCTTATTTGCCGCTGACTATCGATCACCTGGGCCCTAGTTTTTACTGATTGAAACTATCGCATGTGGTTTTGTGTACCTAATTCAGGTTCTTTAGATCCCACCCGGCTCTAAAGAGAGTCAATATCAACAAAAGCAATCGTGTTTCATGGAGAGGTGACGGCCGGTTTACGAGGATCAGTTTCCGGTCCTCGAAGACAAGTCTTCGCGGCATTATCGGGGCGCATTGACTGATGTAACTATTTTTATGTATTTTGACCGGAGCCGGAGTTTGTGAATTGTGATACCTACATTGTTTACGGCTCTAGCAATCCGCAACGCCTCCAGTCTCATCCTGGGTACCTATTCGTTCACTGACACACTCGTATAATGTACGAAGGCAACATTCACTGTGCAGATACACCACGCTATGATAACAGGATCCCGTGCCCTTTTCAGTGTTGTAGGTAAAGATGATACGATGTACCAACAGCAGATCCGGTAGGTATATAGATAGGGATGATCAAAAGTGGCGGCTCGAGCGCCGCTAGCACCGACACCGCGCGCGAGCCGTAATTGTGCCGTTGCCCGGCAGCGCTGCGCCAAGTTGCCGTTGTCGCTGCGAGAGGTGCCAATAAGAGAACAATCAGCCGCGCGCGGTGCGCCGCCCGGTGACCTGTGTCGGTGGGTGGCCGCGATCTCACTCACTGAGAGTGCAGCGGACTCACGACGAAAGCATGACCGATATGCAGCTAACCGTGTACCAGTGGAAAACGATTCGTTAACGTTACCGTCCTTGTTGTTGCCGAACCGTCATTATTCTTTTCCTCAGGTTAATAGATCTCTAAAAAGTTGTTTTCAAAACGGGCTTCGCTGAGGAAAACTAAATATTATAACCAATATTTAGTTGTTATTTATTTGGTAATAATATTTATAGGTAGTTAGTTTTCCTCAGCGAAGCCCGTTTTGAAAACAATTAACTTTTTTGTTGCCGTACTTTTTTAAACTAATATAGACATATATTCTTATTGGAGTGCGTTCAAGGGAACTTCGTCAAATACATAGGTATCACCTCCTGTCGCTTAGACGTCGGCTATAGACGACATTCGAATTGGGATCATGGGCTTAGGTATCAGGATTCAGGAGCTTTATCTATAAGACATACCTACATTGACATAACGCAGTTTTCTTCAGTAAACGCAGGTATACTTGATCTGACTTTATCATAAGAATCCGTGGCTTATTTAAAACATTTCCGCGCTGTCATTTCGCATATAAAGTACCTAATCAGCACGATTCTTTCAGTGATCAACAGGCGTTTTGATTTCTCCGTTTACTGTGTTCGCCGTCTTACCATCACGCGTGTGTACTGTGTGTTGGCGTACGTCCGTGATTATCTCTTATCACTGAATATCTAGGGTCTTCCATGTGTGTCAGCCGCCTGGGGTGACCCCCGCGACCCGTCAGGCCTTCCATAACGGTGCCCAGACTCGCCTGCGACTATGCGTGAACGGTGCCGGTGACCGATCGGTCGCGCCGCCGGGTGTGCGTTCCTCTTCGTACACCTATGTATATGCGTGCGAGGGTCGCCCGCGGCCCGCTCTAGCGGTAGGTGCCTGACCCGGCCGGGACATACCTACATAGATTGTTTTCTAACGGTTACTCGAGGGCCGCTGGAGGTGCATGAAGACCTATTGGCACTCAGCTGCACAGTGTATAGTCTAGAAGGTATAGAATAAATCTGCTATGAGCGAGCAACAAAAACTTGGGCAGTTGAAAATACAAAGGGCCAATTAGTAACCAATACAGCAATTAACAAATCACTTAATAGTAACAGTAAAATCGTTGATTGTTAAATTGATTACCTACCGCATACCTTGATTAATGAGGTAAAAGAGGTAAGTGAAAAACCCCGCGGATCCCACATTCGCTTTAGAAAGCAGATTCTGCGAGGCTTAGGCGTGTAGTTCAGCTACGTGACTCGTGGTCACGTCAGGCGGACGTTGGGGGCCTGGGGCGGCGCGGCCACCCGGCGGGTGGCGCCCGCTGTCCTGAGATGGTGACCTGCCTGGAGGTACCGCGAGCAGATCCATCAAACTTTGGCGGCAGTGACCATTGTCAAAGGACAATTTTCTTCACGGACTTCCGAGATGGAAAACCAAAGGAAACAGAAGAGTCTCTCTCTCTCTCTCTCTCTCTCTCTCTCTCTCTCTCTCTCTCTCTCTCTCTCTCTCTCTCTCTCTCTCTCTCTCTCTCTCTCTCTCTCTCTCTCTCTCTCTCTCTCTCTCTCTCTCTCTCTCTCTTTCCGGTAAATATCGTGTCGCAGGATTCGTCGGCCCCAGTTGTCCCATCCCGTCCCGCTCCAAGGTAGACCTCAGTAGGTAAGCCGTTCCGTCACCTGTCCACTGTCGTCTGTCCAGTTACCGAGCCATCCGTCTCTGCCAGCTTCTGACGGACGTGAACAGTCCAGTGGCCGTTATCAGTCCATTGGCCACTGGTTATCAGTCCACTGGCCGTTATCAGTCCACTGGCCGTTACCAGTCCAGTGGCCGTTATCAGTCCACTGGCCGTAACCAGTCCAGTGGCCGGATATGCAGGGAAGCTCAATCGCTCACACGGACCGCACTCGGCGCGACCGTGTGAACGCTCGCCGCAAACGGCATTCTCTCTCGGCGCGCCCGCGCCGGTAACTCGACGGTAAAGCCGCCGGTCATGTGTGGTTATCTAGGGAATATTTACAACCACTGGTGACGACATGTCCGTCGGTACCTCAGCCGTCAGCGCGGTGCGTGACGTGCGTTTGTTGTGAGAGTCGCGTTGACGGCGCACATCATTCATGTCACCACGACACACATCACTGATGTCATCACGACACACATCACTGATGTCAGGGGGAGCGGCGCCGCCGTCATCGAACCTTACCTGAGCCGTTGACGGCCGGCCAGGGGGAGCCCACGGGCGTCATGGTGTCTTGGTAGCCACCTGTCAGAGCCGTCGAGCGGGCCGCCCTGATCCACCCCCTCGGCGCGGAGTGACTGGTGACGGCCGGCCGACGGGGACCGACGCACGCACGGTCCGCTGTGACGGAGGGGGAGGGCACTGCGCACTGCACCGCACCGTCCCGCGCCGACGAGATAGGTAGCCGTTCACATATGGACTGACCGCAGTGCACATCAGTGGCATGGTCAGTGCCATGGTGCTCCTATCCATAGGCAGGCACTTATTCAGATTTCCAACAGACTGAGTTGATCTTTATCTACATCCAAGTTTTCCAACGTATGATAAGTAAAGCTATTCAGCGCGTTTGATATGTACCTATCAGATGAAATTACGATAGTGCGTTTATATGGATTAGCACTTTTATTGTCATAGCATTGTCACATCACGTGGACACTTGCAAGTCTATCTGGTCATATGAGACTGTCGCAAGAGCGCATCGATTATATCAGATCTACCTAAATCGTCTAATGGGCACACTGAGGTGAGGTCGAGTACTTACCCATGATTTAGATTCAAATTTTGACGAGCACAATAACAAACACGGCAATGACCTGTCAGACATACTTGCGAGGCGATTGTGTTATCTCTTATCCATATAGTCACACGGGAGCATGTATTCACGTTTCAACACATTTGCGAACAATGCTAATTCATGTCACTCATATGTAAATATCACGGAACTCGTCTGCAAACGAGTATTTCTCCAGGGGCAGGCCTGCGTGGCCCCTCTCCTTGAGCATCAGGTTGAGCTGGTGGATGTAGCTCCACAGTTTGGCCCGCAGCGGCAGCGGGTACGTCTCGTTATCGGGCACCACGCCGTGCCGGTGATTGTGCACGGCTCCCTCTAACTCATTGTGGAGACACTCTAACCGCCGCGGGTCGGGCTCCACCTTCAGGAAACGCAGCACAGAGGTCAGCTCACCCATCGGGTCCTTGGTGAGACGCTCGTACGCGATCACGTGCGTCTCGTTGGTCGATTTCAGCCACTGGGCGTTCATGTTGAACCATATCCGGGAGTAGCCTTTGACGAACTCCAGCCATTCGTCTCCGCGGTACAGGTACGTCATGTCCTCCTCAGTGTGCACCGACTGGGTCGCCCCGTACTTCTTCAGCGAGATAAATGCCTTGAACGGGTCGCGGACGAGCAGCACCGCTCGACGCACGCTGTCTGCCGTGAAGGGCGACAGTTTTTCTAGAGCGCTATCAGCCTCAGTTTTATTCCAGGGCTCAGGCAAGAAATGTGTTTTGGTAACGATTCCGATGCGCTGCACCCACGGAATGTTTTCACCTATGTACCCGTATTTAGCGAGCTCCCTCTGACCGCGCACTGCAGTCCATATCATATTTTCACTGAGCACTGAGTGAACCGGGCCGAGCTTCTGGTATAGTTTATAGTTAGGCCCACCGGATAATGTGAATAGTCCCGTGGAGGCCTCCAGCAGGTAGCGGAACCAGGTGTTCCCCGACCTGGGGAACGACGCCAGGTAGACGTGCGGCAGGCAGAAGTCGCAGGTGAAGCGGGTGAGCAGCGGCCGGCACCGGGCGCTGGTGAACCAGGCGTGCTCCGGCCGGCTGGCCACCAGCAGGTCAGCGATCGGCCGGCCACCGATCAGACCCGTGTCCTCTGCCTCGATCAGCGCCGCGTCCTCCGACCCGGCCAGCGCCGCGTGCGACCTGATCACTGCCAGCAGACCGCACACGGCCACCGCCGCCAGCGCCAGCTTGCTCCATTGGTAGACGTTCTGGCGCAGCAGCCGTGCCAGACCCTCCCTCCCGGCCATCGCTCCTCACCGGCTGCCTGTCCTCCGCGTCCTCCCGTTCTCAATGACGACCGTCCTCGTCTGTCATGGTTTCTCAGCATCTGAAAAAGTAATTCATTAATTAAAGCAACCGTGTGTGTCTTCGTGCAGTTTGGCCCCACTTGCGCTGATTGGGTTTAGAAGCACAAACACGTCTAAGCGTCTTGTGGTTAGTTCCCTGTTTGAATATTTTTGGCTGTCTTAAATAGCAAGGTAGTATAATTCTGCAGGCACGCCTGTGGCTAAAACGGATCAAAATGCTCACGCATTTATCACGTTTATCAGTCAATACAATCGTCCCACATAAGGTTGCAAGGTTAGGAAGCTGCTTCTTTTTCCACTGGTGACTGAGGTTATTCCACCGTCCAAAGTGCCACACGGTGGCGGCGCAGCCGTCTGATTGAAACACATCGAGGTGGGGCTGGAGCCGTCAAGCGCCCCAATCGAACCTTTACTTTTGGGACATGCAGCGATTGCCCTAAATATTAAACGGATGCATCAGAACAGAACAGAACAGATTTATTTGAATAAGATCCACGATTACATGGCTTTTCACTTACTCGCGTCTGAATGGTAATACAATGGGCATCGACAGAGGCCTTGATAAAGCTGAAGCGTGACTGCTGTTACGCTCGGAAGCATTCTTGTTTAATGCAGGTATAGTGTGCTATGGGACGTAAAATAGATAATTGACAACTGAACGTTAACATTTCAAACTATTATATCAGCAATTACGACACCCGAGTGATTACGAGCGAGCGAGCGCAGCGAGCGAAGCGAGTCTTTTCAATATAACGGAAAAATCTCAGTATGAGCGGCCCGGCCCGGCCCGGCCTGTAACGCTTTTGAGAGGCTTATATCTCAGCAACCGCTGGACCGATTGGCCTGCGGTCTTTTTTGCTGGGTAGCCCCATCCCTTCTACCCCGTAATTGACTACTTTTGATACACCTCAGTGACCGTCGTGGCACGTGCCACGTGAAAAGTCAAGGGTGTTCAAGCTGTTTTGCAAAAGTAGTGATTTTGAGAGGCTCATATCTCAGCAGCCGCTTGGGCGATTGACTTGCGGTAATTTTTGTAGGGTAGCAACATCCCTTCTATCAAAAATAGGATACTCTCGATGCATGTGGGTCACCCCCAGTGCACGTGCAAAATACAACAATTAGAGGTGTCAAATTTGTTCCCATTTTAATAACTCGGTAATTACTGGGGCGATTTCGCTGAAACTTGGCATACAGGTAGGCACCCACCAGGCAATGCATTCCCATGTGTTGCAGTTAAGGTGCTACTGCACGTGCGCACGTGCAGGGGGCGCTTCCAGATCTCGAGAACGGCTGGGCCGATTGCGCTCAAATTTGGTACACGGTTGGGGACCAGTTAGTAGGGTGCCGTGCAAAAGTCAGTTTGGACCCCGTTTGCACGTGCGCACGTGCAGAATGCCGCTTCCAGATCTCAGGAACGGCTGGGCCGATTGCGTTCAAATTTGGTACACCGCTAGCGACCGGTTAGAAGGGTGCTTTGCGCAAGCCCGTTGGAAGTACCCTCTCGCCCTTCCGCACGTTCAGTGCTCACTATCTCGCTCGCTCGTTCTTCGCCCGAAAGGCGTTTTACTGGTTTTAATCTGTGGAATGATTCAGGAAACGAACGTTTCTTAAAACGATTTCCGTGACCGTGACGCATTCAGAATGGACCATCGGGCCAGGTTAACCTGTAAGGTCGGCCAGATTAGGTTAGGTGGGTCTATTAGGTCACTGGTCAGTCCACTGCCGACTGCACCTGTTCAGATGATGTGCAAAATATTTTATTATTTGCAGTGTTCCACAGCCCAATCAATGCTAATTACGGAGCGAGCGAAGCGAGCGGAGTCTCATACTGAATTAAGGAAAAATCCTGAGTATGAGCGGCCGGCCGTGGGGACGCTCTTCAAAAGCTAATATCTTAGGAACGGGACATCCGATTGACAAGCGGTCTTCTTTAAGCTGAATGTCACTTGGACGTAAAAGTTCTGTGGTGTGATGGCCACCATGCGTTCTTGCCAACCACCGCACGTGGCGCGTGGTAAAGTTGGACATTTTTTTAAGAACCCCAAAATTGCAACCTCAATAACGGCACAACGGTTGGGCCGATTGAATTGAAACTCGGTACACAGTTAGGTCTCCATCAGATAATTCATCTGCATGTGTTCAGGTTGGGGTGCTACAGCACGTGCGCACGTCAGGCGCTCCCAGATCTCGAGAACGGCTGGGCCGATTGCGCTCAAATTTGGTACACGGTTGGGGACCAGTTAGTAGGGTGCCGTGCAAAAGTCAGTTTGGACCCCGCTTGCACGTGCGCACGTGCAGTGTGCCGCTTCCAGATCTCGAGAACGGCTAGGCCGATTGCGCTGAAATTTGGCACATCGCTAAAGACCGGTTAGTAGGGTGCAGTGCACAAGTTAGTTGGAGGTACCCCCTCGCAATTTCGCACGTGCAAGGCCCGTCCTCTCGCTCGCTCCGTTGGTCGCCCAAAAGGCGTTTTACTGGTTACATAGTTATCTTGTAGAATTGTGTGCTGCATTTGAATTATGCTGACGCCTCATCGAACAAATTCAAAATTCGTAACGTTTCAACAGGGCGACATTTATCATTTAACGTACTGCCTTTCTCACGAATAAGGAGACTATGTCCAGTTAGCTCTGTTAAGTTTATATGTTTTTTTAGGAGCCTCTCCTGGCCCATGCACACCCATTATCCAGCCATTAAATCGTAGCAATGCACATTCCACATATTGATATCCACTGTCACTCGCACCACCAAGACTTTCGAAACGACCGAACCGTAACGGAACGAGCACTGGGCACGGAAATGCAACGCGTCCGGGCCCACTATGCCGACAAATGAGTGAGAACTGGGACGTGCAATTGTTGACCTGACCTGTACAACAGGATGCAGATCGCAAACCTCAGTTCCTAGTAGTGAACTGAGGTTTGCGCTCTGCATCCTGTAACCATCGTCATGTTACTCACCGGCCATAGCCAGGGCGTCAGGCCATCAGTCCGGAGTCGGCGTCACACCCGGTCCTGCACGACGGCACGTGTCTTTGTCCAACACTGACCACTGCACGTCTCTCACAAACTGACAAACCAGCTGTCTGGTGACAGCGACGGCACCGATCACTGCGCGGCACCTCTGCGGCAGCCGTCTGCGCTGCACCGTCTCCGTGTCAGCAGCACCTGCACGGACCGGCAGCGGCGGCGAGTGAGCGCGAGCCGGACCGCGTCACGACTGCAGGAGAACTCTGCTGCGGCAGCGTGCACAGCGCGCCTAACGGTCGGCCGCCGCGCCCTCCGGCACACGGCTGTCAGCAGGGCCGGCAACTGGAGCCACTTATCGACACGGAGCCCACTGCCGCAGAACGGCGCTGTCCTTTACCCGGTGGTTAAGCGTAATAACTGCAGGGCAACCAGTGGAGCTTATCGGAAGTAGAAAACGCGGTCCTTATCTAACAGTCGGATGGACGAACTGGTGGTCCAGTTACTGGAAATCAACTTCAGGAAACGGTTTACATGCATATTTCCGTCTGCTGAAGAGGAACTACAATCGCTGGCAGAGCCATGTGCAAGGTCTCGGCTAGCATACTGATTTATAGAGAAGACGACCCACTACTCAGTATCTCAGGCAATGTGGGATGGAATCGCTTTGGAATCAATGCAAAATACCATCTACTCGTATGTATATGCATTTTTTGAATTATGTCATCAAGTAAAAGGCGACACTGGACAGCTGACGGACGCCAACGTTCCTCTCCTTCCAGCTCCTCGGCGGCTCCTTTGGACGAGCTGCCCTGTTTAGTTCTGACCTCCGCAGTGAGATGTGGTTTGACGATATTCCCGGGTCACGAATCACATATCCTATTCCGAAAGCTACTGTTACAAACGCAAGGACGGTCGGTTCACAATTTTGATTTATACCGCGCCGGCGCATATTAATCTAATAATTAACTTTATGCCGCACGCCTCATCGGGTGTGCGACATAAGTTAAATCTCGCTTAAAGAAAAACACAAATGTTCTCCCCCTCGCTACACCAAATGCATGGTAACTTTGAAACTTTCAGCGAATCACGAAGGTGATAGCAAATGCGAAGCATGCATATTGCTCAGATTTGATGACCTAAGATGTGGCCGTTTCGCGACTTTTTCATTCATTTAATTCAAAAGGATAAAATGAAACTACGCCGCTTTCCTGGGATGAACTTGACCTTAGACCAAAGCATGCGCCTGGACTAGAGAAGTGAATTGCTGGTAATGTAGGTAATGCCGTAAAAGCTTTGTTTCGAACGTTATTGCACGAATGAATTTAAACAAAAACTGTCTATTAAAACGTTATACCAGTATAACGCCTTTTGGGGCGACTAACGGAGCGAGCGACAGGGTGGGCCTTGCACGTGCGAAATTGCGAGGGGTACCTCCAACTGACTTGTGCACGGCACCCTACTAACCGGGCTCTAGCGATGTGCCAAATTTGGGCACAATCGGCCCAGCCGTTCTCGAGATCTGGAAGCGGCACCCTGCACGTGCGCACGTGCAGAGTGGGTCCCAACTGACTTGTGCACGGCACCCTACTAACCAAGGCCGTATAAGAGAGGTAGAATCATCCCGCGATTTCCAATGGACCGGTCGCTAAGCATTAGCGTGACGTCACTGGTGGAGACCGGGCGGCGGCCGGTTCCAAGCTGTACGTCGGGTACATTTGGCACCGTATAGTTATTATTACTGAACGTAACGACAACTAATGACTATTATAACTTTTTTACTCACCTAAAGCTGATTTCCTTGCCGGTACATTGCCGACCCGAGCCCCAGGGGCAGGGTTGACAATCATGGGATATGGGTCGGATGAACGACCTCGCGACGGCAGAAGGAACGATTGCAATTGTTGTGTCCCGCACCGCCGATTGCATTCTCTATCTGCACCCAGGGGCAGGGGGCACGTGCCCCCATCGGATTAGGGGGCCTCGGGCCCGAGGGGCCTTGCGACGCCAATTGGCGGCTGAGAGTCCACGCTGGCATCTTTCGACTCAGAAGGCCGCCCCACAGGGCTCGGAAGAACACCTTATGTGCTCCTAAGAGCCACACTTCTCTCCACAAGAGCCCCACACCGGCTTTTTAGTGTCCCTTGTCGGCCTTTGAGGGCCCCTTGCCGGCTTCTCAGGGCCTATTGGCGACCTCTGAGGGCTACTTGCCGGCCTCTGAGGGCCCTTACCGGCCTATCAGGGACAAGCAGCTCTAAGGGTTCCACACACGCCTGCGATGACCCATGGTTGAAGGCCCCCACAACGGCGCCTGCGAGGGCCCTCACCGGCGGCTGTGAAGGCCCCACACCGGTGCCTAGCTGAGGACCCCACACTGTCACCTCCGAGTGCAACCGGCACTCCTGAATGAGGTCCCGAAACCAGTGCTTCTTAAGGCCATATATCGGCGGCTCTGAGGGCTCAACGCTGGAGCCTCTGACGGCCTCAGACGGGACCTGCGCATCGGACGGCCACTCGCCGGTGACTTGAGGGCCCCACACCGACGACTCCGAGGGCCCCACTGGCGTCTGAGTGTACCTTGCTGGGCTCTAAGGACTCCACAGGGCTCCCGAAGGCACCGCAGACCTCTTGAGAGCCCCTTGTCGGTCTCTGAGAGCCCCTGTCGGCCGAAGGGTTCGAGCCAGCAGCTCCAAGGGTCCCACACCCGACTGTGACGACCCCACACTGCAGTGTCTCTGAGGGCCCACAACGGCAGCTGTGAGGACCCTCACCGGCGCCTCTGGGGACCCCGCACCAATGCCTCTGAGAGCCTCACACCGGTACCTGTGAAAGCCCACACCAGTGCCTCCAAAGGCTTCATAACCGGCGGCCCTGAGGGCCCTACACGGGTGATTTTGAGGGGCCTACCGAACTCGAAGGCACCACACAATCCCTTAGTCTCGCTGAGCTTCTATCCCAATCCCATACAGGCTTTTATCCCAATTCCGGCTCAACTAATTAGCAGCCCCCCCCCCCCCTCCATGGGTCAGCAGCACCGCACCGGTGCCGGGGGCCAGCGCCATCGGGGCGGCAGTCGGCCACGCGCACTCAGTGGTTAGCGCTTAGCACCGGCGGCTAGCGCACGCCCGGTGTTATCGGCCGTGAGCCGCTCCAAAACGGCTGTAGTAACTGGTCGGTATAGGTAGTAAGCAGATGAGGAGATGCAGGTGGATTGATGACCGGCAAGCTTTTGTGTTTTACGAGAGTGAAGGGTCGAAGTCGGCTGCTAAGTGGTGAGCGGATTTTATCAGATGACGGTTCATTATGACCTTTGTCCGGGTCCTGGTACCCTGACGCACTCTTGGAGCGCCAATTCACAGCAAAACTCCATCCACGACTGTATCTATACGGCTTACGCTTTTCTGAAAACGTCTGCGTTTGGCCTTCTACGGGCCCGGCCGGCCGGCCGGCCGGCCCCGATTGGCGGTCCACCAGTGACGTCACCGGTAGTGTTAAGCTGATTGGCGAATAATACATGGGAAGAACCGGGACGACATCCCCCTGCTACTAACCGGTCCCTAACTGTGTACCAAATTTGAGCGCAATCGGTCGAGCCGTTCTCGAGATCTGGAAACGACCCCTGCACGTGCGCACGTGCAGCAGCGCCCCAATTCTGGCACATGGATATGCAGTGCCTAGTGGGTGCCTACATACATGCCAACTTTCAGCGCAATCGGCCAAGTAGTTACCGAGATATTGCAACAATTACAAAACGGACATCTCTTCGTTTTGCGCGTGGCACGTGCATAAGGGGTCACCCACATGCATCAGGAATAGTCCAATACTTGGTAGAAGGAATGAAGCTACCCTACAAAAATTACCGCGTGTAAATCGGTCAAGTGGTTGCTGAGATATAAGCCTCGCAAAAGCGTGACCACGGCCGGCCGCTCATACTCAGAAATTTCCGTTAATCTAAGGAAAGACTACGCTCGCTTCGCTCGCTCCGTAACAATATTATCCTGCTTTACATGGGTTTTCCTTTTCCGAGAGCTGAGAGACGGTAAAAGTGATATACTTTGTTTGTCAATAACACCTGACCAAATTGCGCAGTCAGGAAAGGCACCAATAAACTGAGAATGGCCTGCTGAGTCAAGTAACATGTCATGCGACCTTAACCAATGATTAGTTTTGTGGCATGAATGGCTTTAATGTTTGATGTTTGAATGAATGGCTTTGACCTGCCCTTGACCAAGGTCAGTAATCAAGCTAACCTTCCTTTAACATTCGATGCCATCCAGCATAACGAACAGGATGGTGTCGAAATTCCAACTCTTTGATCATTTTTAGCGTATTTTGTGAAGCTGTTCTCAAAAGTGAAGTTATTAACATTTTTTGTGGCGAGCAATTTTCTCAACATCGTTTGGAGGGGTCAGGCCCGGTGTGTTGGTACTCATTGGATGACGTGGTCATACGTGGCATAAACTGTGCCAATTACGTCCCACGACTAGCCGGAAGTGCGTAATTTACGGGATTTGCAGCGCTCCAGGATGCCTTATCACGCTGGATACGAGGCGCCACGACGGCGCCGGCTGGCGAGCGACGCCCATGCCCCATTGTGGTGTCGATATCCGTCTATCGTGTCGACTTTCGGTACGCCGCTTACCACACGGTCGTTCAATAGCCTCCGTATACTGCAAGAGAACAGTGGCGGCCGAGTCACGCTTATGGCGCACCTTCACCAGCCGTCAAAGGCGGAAAGCTGGGTCCTCTCCGCCCGGTCCTGTGGCTCGACACGGACACACAAAACGGCGCGCAGACTTCAAAACCGCACAGGCACTAACACTAAAACCGGCAGAGATCTGAAGACCGGCTGACTGAACTGGAAGATGTGTGCCAGTCATCATATTGCTGCGAGAGAGAGAGAGAGAGAGAGAGAGAGAGAGAGAGAGAGAGAGAGAGAGAGAGAGAGAGAGAGAGAGAGAGAGAGAGAGAGAGAGAGAGAGAGAGAGAGAGAGAGAGAGAGAGAGAGAGAGAGAGAGAGAGAGAGAGAGAGAGAGAGAGATCCAACTATCCAACTAGTGCGAGACGAATGGCGAATACCGGCGCCGGAAAAAGGGGCTCTCTGATAAGCTACATTAATACACCGTGAACTGAAATGCTATTCGGATTTGAGAACAGTTAGCTCTTTAAGACGTTTTCGCCGATCGGTCTACGAACAAGGGGCGAGTTAGGTACGCCACCGATCCATCGTTCCGTAGGTCAGCACAGGTCAGCTCAGTGACCTGTGACCGATCTGCCGTGCGACGAGCGACCACCATTGACGCGATTTGAACGGTGTCGACGTCATGCCGGCCAATCCTCGTCTTACAAGGCTCAGCGAAATTGTTTTCGACTAACTATTACACCGAAAAATACTTAATTTGTGTCTAATGGGATTCCCGAGTGGCTTAGAACAGAGCCTAGTTTTGCGACAGTGAGTGATAATATGATTAAGTGGGGAAGATCTTCATTGATGCAAAATTGGAGACGGTAAAATATGACGTCCTATTATGCGGACGCTTCCGCTGAAGCCCACCGCTAGAAGCCCACCGCTTAAGTAATGTGCGGTTTTACCAATCTCAAAGGAGGGCTTTGACTGGCGATTTTTTTTAATGCGGAGTGATCGAAAGGAAGACGTCAATAGATAAAGTTGCAGCTGCAAAGGTGGCGATACATGTAAGCTACATTCAAAGTTTCATTGTAGTCTGGCTAATCGTTCCTAAGCTTCAGAAGCAGATCGTACTCATGACTGAAACCGCACATTACTTCTGCTGTGGAATGTACTTATAGCATAAATAGTCCGACGCATATAAAAAGTGAGTCGTTTGTTGGGCAAATGTTTATTGTATTGCGCTACATCGATTGAACAGTGATCACAATTTTCGCGCTACAAATTGGCGTCAGAAAAGCTGAGCTCGAGACATAGGCCGGCCAAACACCGCGGCAGCTCTGCGCAGTAGTCGCCGTACACACTCGGCGAGGGTGGCCGCCGATCTGCCAGTCACCGGCAGGCGGCAGGTTCGGCCCACGCCAGTCACGCGCCGCGCCGCTGCGAAATGTTTGACGCCATCTAATTTACTGACACTGAACATCTGCCTGGACGCGGCTGGGGCGGCACCCAAGGAGCGCTGGCAGTGGTGGGAGCCGCCCGTCAGCCCACACCGAGCAGTCACGCGGCTACTCGGCCGCTCCAGCACGACGCGACACTCCCTACACGATAGCACCATCTTGCGGATTCAGCGGGAATCAGAATTGCGGCCGGCGGCCGCCGGGGTCGCTCACAGCTCGCCCTTGGACATCTTGTAGACGCTGACCTTGGCATCGGCCCGGGCCACACCGTTCTTGTTCTGGGCGATGCACTGGTATGTGCCGGAGTCGCTGGGCTTCAGGTCGACGATCTGCACCCAGCCAGTCACCATCAGGTTGCCAGGGCCGCCGCGAGTCTGAATGGCCATGTCGCCACGGTCACCTGGCGGATAAAATGGAAAACGTTAGTTGACGGGTCCGCCCGACAGAGGCGCGCGGGTAACAGATGGGGGCGGCACCGCTCCTCCCCTGCCAGCGACGAGGGGCGACAAGGGGACACGGGAGTGCGACAGAGCCTATGTACTTAGGAAATGGTGGACGGCGAGAGAGCTACGGGAGATAGGACGCTTCGTCCAAGCGTTTCGGCTCCAAATACAAAGACCAGCATTCCGAGAAAAAAAAATATCGAAGTTCCTTCAGAACCAAAGCAATGCCGTCTCTAACTGCTTCACCGACATCAACAGTGCTCTAATCAGTCCCGACTATGTGGTGAAGCGACATGGCGTCTTCACTGCGGCCGTCTGGCGGTGCAGCGCGGCGTCCCGGCTGCAGGCGCCGTCTGAGATAACAAGATCAAATGACGACCGATCACTGGAGCGGCGCCAGATGTGCTGGGGATGGGGCAGGGGGAAGTCTGTACCGGGGAGAGCTGAGTCTGGGTCAAAGGACAGAGGTGCCTGAGCCGCGAGCAGGGAGCCACACCCGGTCTCTCTCTCTCCTCTCTCCTCTCTATCTCTCTCTCTCTCTCTCTCTCTCTCTCTCTCTCTCTCTCTCTCTCTCTCTCTCTCTCTCTCTCTCTCTCTCTCTCTCTCTCTCTCTCACTCTCTCTCTCTCTCGCCCCGCTCTCTGACAAGTCCACCTCAGTTCACCAGACGGAAACTGTGTCACGGCTCGCTCTGTGGGGAGAAGGGGGCTGGCTCTGCGCGGAGGAGGGAGACGCCAGCCGGCAGGAGTGACAGCTGCTTCCGGTGTCGAGCAGACGGCAGCCGGCACTGCAGCCCGGACCGACTTCTCTGCCACCCTCTCCAACCAGAATGGTGGAATGGCCCGGGAGACGAAACGGATATCCCTGGCGTTTTCAACAGATATGGTTCGATTACTTATCGAGAGCCATCAGCCGCAGACGTTTGACAGGAAGGCAAGGAATTGGTGAAAGGAGCTCCCTTCAATTCTGGATGTCTCTGTATCTCCAGTGGCCAGCGCCGCTACTCGCCTCCTCCCCCCCTCACAGTTGCACCCATCGCCCCACAAACCCCGACCTCCCCCCTCCCCGCCCCCCGGGCTACCGACGCCATTGGACTGGCGGCGAGCGGTGAGACGCCGGCGTGGAATGTAAACAGAACCCAGGGCCGACTGTGGGCGACCCTCCCCGCCGTCCCCGCCCCCGCCGGCTGACATCAGCGCGGCGCGGCGGTCTCGGCCGGAACAGACCTCCCCACGAGTCAGGGCTCCAGCTCCGGCCCCTCCCAACGCAGCGGCCAGCTTCCTTACATCTTATGCCTCTGCTGCAGAGGTGCTCGCCCAACGCCAAAAAAGGAGCCAAAGATCCAAAGCAGTTCTTATTATAGGTACTTCCTCTGGGTTTGTGGATTGTAGTCGCTGAATTGACTTTTGACCCTAACGGCCGCCTCAGGTCGCCGGGCGGCAGGTGAACGCCAGCGCCGCGCCCTTATCAGAATCGCTGATAAAACGGCCGATAGCGGTGCCCAGCAACACAGCTATGAAGGCACCTGAGAGCGTAGTGTCGCCATATGGTGCATTACGCCTCACGACACGTGGCAGCGGCACGTGGACTGACTGACGGCACGTGGCGCGTTTCAAACGGGGTCGGGTGATCGCCCTAGTAAGACGTTTGTCAGTTATTTATGTTTCTCCCTCAGCATCTGTACATACATCATCATTTTATGGTTCTTTTTTGTAAAAGAGCTAAGAATGTTTCTGGAATTGTGATTATGAAGAGAGATTCGGTGAAATATTATAGGTATCGGCACATAGATGATAGACCTCCGTGCACCGGTGTATGTAAAGAGGTCTATGATCGGCAATAAAAGTCAAAAGACGTACATTTTCGGGAAGTTGTCACGTAAAATTGGTTCGGTCATTTCGCATGTGCTTGGTTAATGGATGCCTTTCACTTAATATTTACTGAAATCGGAAATGAAAACGAACATCAGCCGTCACACCGCAAAGTACGGTCTGAACAGGAGGGATCAGACGTCGACCATAACGGGGCGATCCGATAGGCCACTTTATCTGTCCGTCTGCCGACTACAAATGGGCGGAATGGCTGGAGAGATGTCGCTGCTCAAAGTCGCAGCGACCGACCGTCTCTGGTCGGCAGCCGGTCGTGCTGGGGACGTCGTGCTCCGAATGGCATGGTGCCAGATCCTCCCGACACTGAGCAGCGGCGCTCTGTACCGTCCCCTCTCTCCCCGGGTCGGGACGTTACTTACTGCAGTTAGTGGATACTCGGCAAGATGCTCTCTTCCTCAATCTCTACCTCCTTTCCTTTCTTTCTCCCTCTCTCTCTCTCTCTCTCTCTCTCTCTCTCTCTCTCTCTCTCTCTCTCTCTCTCTCTCTCTCTCTCTCTCTCTCTCTCTCTCTCTCTCTCTCTCCTTCAATGTTTCCCAGTATCTCTCTAGATCCCTTTCTCTCCACTCTCTCTCTCTCTCTCTCTCTCTCTCTCTCTCTCTCTCTCTCTCTCTCTCTCTCTCTCTCTCTCTCTCTCTCTCTCTCTCTCTCTCTCTCTCTCTCTCCCTCCGTCCCCTCTTTCTCCACGTGCTGCCATCCACAATAGCCCTATCCCCCACACCACCCCCGCTGCTACCCTAACTGACCACGACTGGCCCTCAGCACGTCCCTCCCCACTCTGCCCGCCTTCTGAGCACGGCCAGCACGGCTTCGAGCACGGTCCGGCACGTCCGGCGGGGCGGCGTCTCAGACCAGCTGCGGAGTGCACAGTAAAAACAGGCCGAGCATTTGAGCAGGCCTGGACATTTCCTGCTGCGGGCGACCGGATGTTGGAGGGCGAGTCGGTCATAGAATCATGTTGGTCGAGAAATTCATCCCATGAAAATATTTAGCGATCCGCTAATTTTGAAATTCAATTCCTACCTTATTTCAACTCGTATATGACTGCTCGTGCGAAATTTATAACGGATCCAAAAACTACAACCGTAAATAATGGTTGTAGTAACGACTTTGTGAATTTCGTAGATAGCAATTAGCAAGGGCTTTGTAAAAGAACGGATCCTTACCACCTTGTCTGCTGAAGCTTGGGACGCTAATAAAAACTGAACGGATTATACGGATTATAAAAAACGGCACGTCCTCAAGATTACCGCGCGAAAACATTAGGTACTCGAAAATACCGGCTTGGATAATGGATATGACAGCCGACTGGAATGGTTCCATTCCGTTCACTGCACGGTCAGTCCAAATGGATCAAAAATATAAAACTACCATGCGACGAGACCTGCAATGCATAACCTCCCCAGTCACGTGATCTGCCGCAGCAGCCGGCAGGACCATCGCTCTGGCCCCTGCGGCCGTGCTGCTCCACTTACCCCCCCCCCTCTCATCCCCCACCACCGCTGTCGAAACACACGCGGCTGCCGGCGGGAGCCGTCAGCCAAAATCCAGGTCAGCTCTGGTAGTGCGGAGGTCACTGGCCGACCGAGCCGGGCACGTGCCATAAGCACTAAACAGGGTATCATATGTGCATGTGAATCGAATGTGAAGAAAGAAAGGGCATTGAATTTGGCAGCGATTGCCAGATTAAGACATTAATCATCAGCACGGAGCAAGACCTTTGAGGCAGATCTGTTAGGAGTCCGTAATACTAGAGTCTGTCGTAAAAAAAAACGTTAGCAGGCAATACAGGCCACAGACTGGCACAATGCACCATCCAAAAGCCCTGAACCTCGCCGAAACGATACCCTCGCTCGGTGTTTCACCTGTCATTCATACACGTACCGGGCAGGCTGTTGTTGCGTCCGTCCTCGTCCATCTTGTACCAGGTGATCTGCGGGATCGGGAAGCCGAACACCTCACAGTCGAGCACCAACTTGTCGCCCAGCTGCTCGTGCGCGTGCTGCGGCCCAGTGACGATCGTCGGCGCTGCGGGTGACGTCAGATACACGTCAGTGACGTCAGTGACACGAGGTAGTGACGTCACCGTACTACTGGGGCGACGGGGGTGGTGTGAGATGATTTGTGAAGAGAGAACAACTTGAAGAGGAACTCACGTTTGTGGGGAAACAAGTGCTCGAAAATAAGCAAATAGGTAGGTAGTCTTGTGTTAAAAATTCATTGCTTGAATGAATGGTTGGATATCGCACTGTATGCTATTCAAACTAAACTTGCACTGAATGCAGTACATTTACCCGTCCCTACTCTCAGTACTTTACAAGACGAACATTGAATAACTACACACACAATATGCCTACTTACCGCTCTCGCAGGGTCCCCACATCTGGACCTTAGGCGCGTCCTGCGTGCCGTTCTTGTAGGCTACCTCCATCAGCTGGCAGAGGTTGCCGTACGTCTTGCCATCGGAGCCACACACCATGTCCTGCTCCTTACAGACGCACAACGCCGCCCGCTGCAACCGGCACAAAGGTCAGGTTATTTGGCTGCAGCTGTCAGCTATAGACACACAGAGACGTCCGCTGCAACCCATTGGCTGATCATTGGTCAGAGGTCGTTGGTCAATGTAGTCCATCCGTTAGTCACGTAAGTCGTAACTGAACGTTTTAATACCAAGGGAAAACTGATTTGAACTAAATTCAAGCTCTCGTGATATGAAAATGAACAAATATTTTACTTGGATCGAACATGCATATTATACTACCCCACTATGCCCGGAACAACTTCGGCTTCCGATGAAATAATCAAATACGGAATCTAGGCTCACATGAAGTCTGTTGGAGACTACATCTCCACCAGGCTCGGGGCTCCACGTGCTAAGGCTGGCCGCCAGGCCGTTTCTCAGTACCATCTTATACGGCACCGGCTGAGATCATATAAACAAACAGTGTCCCACAACCGCCGTGCGTCAGTCTGACCGGGCCGAACAGTGGCGCATTTCCGACACATGCGACGCAGCCATCTCAAACTGAGTATTCGGCTGAAGGATGCCGGTGATAATGCTTACGGAGGGTTCGGCGCGTTCGGCGGCACAGTATAGATGCAGGCGCATACCACTAGCGACATCTAGAGAGGATTAGCGGAACTACATAGATAGGTAATAGGACCCGTGCGGTATGCTGACATCAGCGAAAGATCGTAAACACTAAACAAATATCACAAGCAAATGTAAACTGAGTTAGATTTGACATGACCACAGCTGTGTGGCCTATGTGCATGTTTCACGGTCGGCAAATAATTACCTAGTCACTCATCAAAAATAGTCGGCACGTCGGCACCGATGGGATTGGGGACTTTGGTAACGAAAGTACGGTACAGAATCGTAACATCGGCTGATGTTGGAAGGTCATGTTCCGGTCAGGTGCTAAGTTTTGAGCAGTCAAAGCGGTTTCATTAACAGTGCGGTGGACTTTAGAACCGAGCGGTATGACCTACTTATTCAAATTGAGAAGCACTACGCGTACGGACAGCGGCATGAACAGCATCATTACGAGCTCAGAATACACCGCACCCGTTGAAAGTTAGCTGGATTTGTGAGCACACAAGTGACTTTTGCATTTACAGGAATCTGACAGATACGGGGACTGAAAGTCGGACGTCGAGTTATATCTCGGACTGAGCAAGAAAAGTGTCCCGGGCACCAATGCAAGGCAACATTAGCGGCAGACATGAGACAATGGACTTACACGCAGCGTCTGATATCCTAGGACCGGTGCGCTAGTTTAGAACTCGGGTAACACCACTGAGCTGTGGTGAGCGCCGGCGCTCCTCCGGTACCCCAGAGCTGTGGAGCTGACTCTGCCGGCGCCGGACACCGGACACTCTGTAACCGTGGGCGCCAGCCGCGGCTGCAGCCCACACCGTGACATCAGACGCCGGCCACAGTTGAGCAGCTGCCCAGGACGAGCGGCAGCCGGCGGTCACATGAGGCCCACGCCGGGGCATACATAGGTCTGCAGACAGGTCACGTGGTCCAACGGGCCCGACCGACGCCTTCGTCAGCGTGCCGGGGGCGTGTCAAACCGCCCAGCCGACCGGATGCGGTCTCTTTATGAGCTCATCCCATGGATATCTTGTCTATACGACGGTGTCGTGCAGACACGAGTGAGAGCGAAACTGCTTCTACAGTGAAGCGAAAAAAACGGCCTTTTGCTTCGAGAATGCTCTTTTACATTGAGTAGTGACATAGGTAGGTACACCAACTTTTTGCTGCTGGATAAAAAGACCATACTCCAAAAGGCCGTCCATAGAGAGAGAGAGCGTACTCCCCGCTCTAACCGTCACGGTATTAACGATAACGATAAGGTCACTTCAATGACGGCAGACTCTTGCCCTCTCCCGCGGCGACGCTGCCAGCACAATTGGCGTTTTGTCGTCTGCCTGTGTCGGCAGTGCAGCAGTCACGCTGCACGCTGCACGGTGCCGCTCTCGCGCTGTTTATGTCGCGCACACACGGTCTGTGCAGCGCGGCCGTCCGGCGGTGTAGGGCGGTATTTGTCCGCGGCCGGGTCACCACCGTCGCGCAGGCCGTGTGTGCCAGCTAACCAGCCCCTGGCGGCGGCGGTATAACCCCTCAGAGCCGTGATGTTGTTTCCAGCGGTATGACGTGGCCCGGCGCGGTGCCAGCCACCCTCCGCCAGCTCACCAGTGCAGCTGCCGCCTACAGCTGCGGCTTCGAGTCCGGCGGGGGCAGTGTAGCCAGGCCCACCCACACAGATAAACTGAGGGCCACCCGGGTCCGAACAGCCGACATAGGAACTCAACTAGCTCCAGTGGTCTGATGCTCACATTGAGTCGGCCGCCTTTTTACGGATCCACTGTCCCCTGAACAAGAATATGGGACACTTTCCGGCCTGGCCTGGACTCGCCGCTACCGTACTCTGACGCCGACGAATGGCGAACTTTGACCTCATTCAGTTGAGAAACCATTCGACATGCGCGTGTCATTTGCTTTCAGATTCAACAGGCTTGTGCTACTTTCGAGGAAATGGCCTTCACGATGACTGACCGAGATGAGATAACTGAGATGCAGGCGCACCACAAGTAACGCTATGCTACGGTATTAATTCCAAATGCAAAACGTTCAACAAGTGTTTAAAACAATGGGTACGATTTGAGGTTGGTTTCCCGTCAGACCGTTATGAGATGGGTACATCAATTACCAATAATAAATGTAAGCATCCATAAGGAGAACAGTGAGCTCAAAAACACCCTTCGTAATTTCTGACCACTTCCTTCAAGCCCCAAAATCCCCACGACGCTCCCGCACAGTACTCTATATAAGATTGGTCAATTCTGCACCAGACCCCGATCACCCGCTCCACTCACCTTATTGCCGCTCTTCTGGTTGGTCTTGACCACCTTGCACTCGAGGTTCTCGCCGCAGCGCCCGTCGCCGCGCAGCTTGTCGCGTATGTTCTGCTGCGGGTCGTCGCATTGCTCGCCCTCGCGGCGGCCGCAGACGGCGCAGCAGTTGCAAAGGTCCATCACCACGCCCGCGTAGCAGTCGGTGGCCACGGCGCATTGGCTCGGATCACACTCGCCGCACTCGACGGCCAGCGAGACCGCCCAGCAGGCGGCCACCAGCAGCAGCAGGCGCAGCATCGTGACGGCAGGGACGAAGGACGGACGGTGGGCGACGTGAACCCTCCGGCGGCTGGCGCTGACTGGGGCGCGCGCGCGCCCGACGCCCGCGGCGCCGCCCTGCCCTGCCCCCTGGCCGCCGCCGCCGGCGACGCCGGTTGGTTCCCTCCCGGCGCGGTCGGCGGAGCTGCCCACGCTGAGGGAAGTCAGGCCTGTGCAGACCCCTGCCCGTGGTTTAGATTAGGCCTCTGTGGAGGATAACAAACACGGAGGGGCCTGCGACAGGGCCGAGACGCCGTGCTAGCAGGCCGCAGGGCGCAGACTGGGCTACGGCTGATAACGGCAGCGCGCCGGCTTCGGGCAACTTCCTCCGACCCCGATCAGAGGGACGCTCAAATCTCCTCCACATCAACTAAAACAACTGTTTCGGACTGAACGGCCCACTTCATCCGACTCAAGAAGCGGCCTCACATCGGGGCAGGCTTCTTTGCGGTGGGTCGACCGTTCGCGGGATTGGGTGGCCGTCTGTGAGATAAGGTTCTGCTCCAGTGGCTTGACTGCAATCCGGGGTTTTGGCAGGTTAACAAAAATATAATTAACCCTGGAAAAAAATATTACCCCCGCCCCACTAGGGTTTGCGTATAACGCGCCCTACTGGGGGGAGGGGGCCTATTCATAGCTCCCTCTCCTAACTCCGAAACTACTGGGCCGATCGTCAAAATTCAAACAGCGTCTGATAGCCCCGGAAAACTGTCGAACGAAACCTAATTTCATTGACCTCGAGGTCACCGATGACATCACAAGTCATGTCAAAAAAAAATTATCGATGTTTGGCTTGTTCACATTTTGGGCTCTGGCTGCCGTCTTAAAAGTGAGATCAGGCTCATTTTTGGTTTACACACTCGTGAACAGATGCTATAGATACCCTGAGGGCATCAAACTTGTACTTTGATTTTCAGGTCAGGGTCCGGTCATCACAGGTCACGGAAATCTGGTATCATACGTCGGTCACGTGACACATGTTTTATGGTCCATTTATGCCATAGATTTCGAATTCGATGTCTTTATGTCATTCGAGGTCATTTTGAGTTGAATTTAGCTTAGGTCAGGCCACTTTCAGGTCAAAAGTTGAAATTTTGCAACCAAAAATGTGGCTATTGAATGCAGTTTGAGCTCAGGAACACGATTGACGATGGTGCTATTTATATTGGTGTACGATGTTAAATATGTGCTGAACCATTGCACAGTGGGGATTTTTCCGACCTAGCACGTATTTATTCGTAGAGGGCAAACCATAGGTAGAATTGTAGCCAGATTGTGCACAGATGTTGGCTGGTGTGTCCTGGTGAGAATTTTACCTGTAAATGTGCATAATCAACATAGTATAGGGGGTTCAATTGGACCCCCCGCTCAGCCGTTTGGCCCCTGATCAAGCTAGAGCTTCGCGGAAAAGTCAAGCGTGCTGCCTATGACGAAATGAGGCCGAATATATCCAATTTCAAAGTCCAGGGTCATAAGCTGACTTTCCAAGTCAGTTTAATGACCCAACTAAAGTTGGGAAATCGAGACCTCTTGAAACTTCGCAAAGTTAAGGTGTTACGGGGTATTTTGGGGTGCTGATCACGAATTTCATGTTAGTTTTGATCACAGACGATGTCTTTATGCATTTAGGCCAGGTCGGGTCAGGTCAGGTTAGATCAATTAGTAGGCGTCCTGCCGGCCATCCATAGAAGTGTCACCTACTACTGATAGCTTCGTAACATGGAACGAAGGCACTAGAACTACTTCGTAAATATTCAAATGGCTGCTAAAATCGAAATCAGCACCAAAAACTACCCTAGAAACAAGTAAAACTCGAAAAAGTGAACCAAGGTCATCAAAAGGTCAATGACCTTGACTTGACCTTCACGTGACCTTGACACCCACCATTATGCATGGCACCAACATCATTTCACATATTTGAACGTTTAAAACCACAAAAAGACTGGAAACCGCGGATAATGTGAGCTGGCATACGCCGAATCGCGATTCCGGCCAAACATGGTCTCGAGAAATATGCCACAGGTCAAAGGTCAGTTGGGTCAGAGTCATGAAATTTTTAGGTTAGATGTAAAATTGATTATCTCGAGGGTACCGAAAGTTTCGGCGCGATCGGCCGCTTTTTGCGCGAGTAATTTGCGGAAAACCATGGGGTTTTATCCGACCCCTTCCCCCTCCCCCTCCCCACAAGTGCGATGGTTAATAAGGTTACGGTATGTATAATTTACGCTTGTCATCCTATTCCTAATGAATGTGTCTCAGAAAATATGCATCATATAAATCACGAAGTAAAATTATTCGCCTATGTCCGGAACATACCTATATCGTGCTGTTTGCCCTAGCGCTCCTCGAGTGGGGTGTTAAGATACTCTAATGTGAATATTCCGTGTTCAGGCAAGTTTCGGCAGCCAAACTAGGCGTTGTCTTGTGCAGGAGAAAGTGGCAAATTCGATAGGATATATTTCTGAGTGGAAAAGTGTGGAGAACATTGTTGATTTCCTACATTTATTTAGAATACCATTCCTTCAATATGGTGTCTGTAAGGTTTTTTTGTAAAGGGCATTTTTGTGACCTTAGTAAGGTTGTGGCATACTTTCTGTTTGCCATTCCATTCCTAATAAAGGTGCCTTTCAGACGATATGCAACTTTAAGACCTCGCAAGATTAAAACCAACAGGACAGGACAATGAAATTGAGCTATACTTTCGGGCCTTGCTGAGCCCATTGAGTAATCACGCATGAGTGTGAACTTTGGGCGCATTTTTCCTAGTTTTGCTGTGGACATACAGATAAAACAATGCCATATATGCAAAATTCAGACATTTCTTAGCCCTACTGACACAAAAAATAAGCAAAAATCCAAAAAAGATTTTTTGAATTAATAGGCGCTAGATCGGAAAAATCCCCACTGTGCATTGATTTGAAAAATGTATATTTGTGAAATTTTTGTTATAGGTAATGCGTATAACTTGGCCATTTTTGAAGCTATCTGGCTAAAATTTGCTAGAGTAGGTCATAAGCGTGTTTCCTATCACATATTAACCTTTTTTCGAAAAAAAAAATCAGAAACTTTTTAAGTTAAAAATATAAATTTTGAATTTTAATATCTAATTCTCAAAATTTTCAAAATTATGAAAATCCGGGATAGCAGTTTGATAGCGCAGTCTATTCTGAGTCCTCTCATGCAAAGAAATTGGATCTATCTTAAAAACTAAGCTCTTGGAGCGATTCCCGTGGTTCAATGTTTTGCGTCAAAATCGGCCGAACATGACGTCACTCTGACGTCATTTCCGGCCGACCTATGGTAGCTACGAAGTTCATTTTTTTTACACAAGGTGTCAACTTGATGCAGCCGAAGCTACTGCAAGTTTGGCGTCGATACGTCAAGCGGTTTAGAAGTTATTCCAGAAAAACGGGAGGGGGGGGGGCTATGAATAGCCCCCCCCCCAGGTGGGCGCAGGTTAAGACATATATGTGTGTAGATCGTAGATCGTATATGTCGATCGCGGACGCTGTAGTTAGTACTTACCATAATTACTTAGACCAATAAAACCGGTCATAAATGTTTCAACTGTTTTGCATTCGTATCCCGAGGTCCGAGCGAGGAATATCCCGCTTAGGAACACGTCTTATATATTTGCATAGATTCGACAGCAACCAAAATTGTCATCCTAATTCCTCCGGCGGCCGTATCGAATTGAGAATATTGAGCCAAACGATTCTGTAGTCATCACGATCGGCTTTTGGGTAACGATAACCTTGCTGACGAGGATATGCAAATATATGGAAAGGCCCTTCAATTCCTAGGTCTACCAAGAACGACCATGTGCGAGCATTAGATCGGTAGATGTAGCATGTCCTTGACGGCATGAATGTCATAAAAAGACACTGCTACATCCTGAGCCCAGTCATGGTGATGATAATACGTTTGGACGGGCTCGAGAACACACGCGACGGGCGGGCACGCACCAACGCACCTTGGATGACGGCGCACAAACAGACGGTGACTGGCGGAACGCACAGCGGCCATGCTTAGGGTAAGGTGCCTAATTAGCGACCCTTTCCGATTTGCGACCTACCTCCCTACAGAAAAACTGGCAGGAGAAAACGGGGTAAAAACATCGTCAAAAGGTCAGCCATACTTTGGTTATCAAATTAAATTATTTTCCTATCGTCGATGTTTCTGGTGGGACGTTTCAGGTGAGTTTAAATAAAAATGACGATTTTCTCATCCAAAATGTGTCTGTTTGGGCCCTCTCTGATGAAAAGCGATGCACATTAGGATGATGCACCTTTTTTATTCTGAATCGACAATCCTTTTTCAATTGATTGCCGTTTTCCCATAGTGAATCGCTCAACTGTGCACAGCATGGCGGTTAAAAATGTGTCGCAACTCATATTTCCTATTTGCGCCTGACATGGTCGCAAATAGCTCAAGAAGGGAAAGAAAGGGGAAAAGAGAGAAATGAAAATGAGGTGTTGCTGAAGTTTGCAATGCGTGGCAGGGAATGCCAAATGTCGTCACCGACTGCAGGGGTGCCGAATTCAGCGCGGACCTCGAATATCATACGAGATAGCCCGCAAAATTTGGGTTTCCGCCTTCGTTTCGCCTTCGGTGCATCACGTGATCAGTTTTTACTTACGTAAAATGTGTTGGATAGACGTTCCTGTTCGAGTGATTGAGTGCTTTGCGTATAGGTTACCTTTTTGAGATCATATTTCATCTTTTCAGGCGTCGCATTTTTTGCCATTTTTTATATGGGGAAACCCATAGACTTATTAGCGACCCTCCCCGGTCGCTAATCGGGAAGAGTTCCCTATTAGCGTTTTTTTGCAATGGTTTGCCAGAATGCTCACTACAAATAAGTTAGTGAATATAGGGGCAGAAAATGACTATATTTTAATAGAAAAATGAACGATCTCTCCGAAAATCAAGCCAGTAATACAGTGGCACCCACAGAGCGTGAGCAACGACGGTTCAAATTAAGGGGGTCGCTAATTAGGCACCTTACCCTACTTCAAGCTGTGCCAAGCCTACCATGCAACCTACTGTCTACAGCTCCTTCGTAAATTCATAAACTTTCCCTTAGCGTACAGCCCTCTGCAAACTGCGTGGTAGGTATTCTTTTTCCGACAAAACCGAGAATGACGCGAATACTATGCTATCGGTCACTCGAAAATCGTAACAGCGAGACGCGCGAGATACCGCACCTTAGATTGGCATTATCATCTTATTCATTTTCCATCCGGTTTGGCAACAAAACCCAAAAGTTTATATTTGCCCCCAAAACAAACTTTTGCATTTTGTTGCCACACAAGCCGTATATGTACTTTGTTTAGTGATAGACCCAATCGAAGAAGTGGAGCATGGCACATCTATTTGAAGTGAGTTCCGACCGACTGTTGACATAGCCTTTGAGTAATTATCGGTTTTGTCGAAAAAAGAATACCTACCACGCAGTCTGCTGAGGGCTGTACCTATATGCGGGCATATATGTGATTACAAGGCGCAGAAAAAGAAACGGATATTTACCAAACAGAAATATCTGCTCGTATATAATTTATTCATAAAGGAAGGTAAAGGAAGGAGGCATCTAACATGCGAAAGGAATGCGAGTTGCGACCTCAGAGTTACCCCATCGTTATCAACCACACCCCTTGATGCCTTCCCGCGGACCGGTGGATAGTGATCGTATGGCCCGGAGCACACCAGTGGCGGTCGGAGAAGGCACATTATCAGCATGACTCGGCACTGTCCGGCCGGCCCGAACAGGTGATAGGCTGGTGGTCGACGTCCGTGCCGTCAGACCCGGTTCGATCGCCGCCCGGTGCCGCCGTCAGCCATTGCCGTCCCGTCCCGCTCGTATCGCGTCAGCACCGCCCACAGCAGCGCACCGGCTCAGGTCAGTAAGATAGACACCAGCCGTCTAATAATAATAAGCAGCAACATGCATCTCGTCAATTTTGCAATTCGATTTATTTGTATTTGATCATTCTTTCAGGATTATTAACTTTTTTCTCAGTCCGGCAATGATTTGTGTAAATGCCTAAAATGAAGTCTGCAGCAATGTAGGTAAACAAAAATCACTTGGCGTGCATGGCAGCCAGCCATCCGCCTCACTATAGCTGTCATCACTAAAATCTCGAGTTCATTGATTATTCAAAGCCGCGCCGGGCTCTTCCGTTTCTCATATATGTGAATGCAAAAATAGAAATGCAGAAAGTACAAACGCAAAAAAAAACTTCAATGACGCATTATCTCAATATGAGCCAAACAACAATGAGACCAAAGCGAAACGCAAAAGATTGTCATGATCCTCGCACCGAACGTCTCTAAAGCTGCGTATCAATTTCTTTCATGTTCGCAGGCCATCATGAAGGCCGAGAAGTTCACCCTGGTGCGCCACTTCGATGGCTATCCCAAGACGACCGACTTCAAGCTGGAGTCGGAGGAGCTCCCGCCGCTGAAGGACGGCGAGGTCCTCTGTGAGGCAGAGTTCCTCAGTGTCGACCCCTACATGCGACCTTACACAATGAGCATGACGCCTCCCTTCACGATGATCGGAGGTCAGGTCGCCAAGGTGGTGGAGAGCCGCAACGCCAAGTACCCAGCGGGCTCGTATGTGATCGGGCAGCTGGGCTGGCGGTCGCGCATCGTCGTCCTGCCGGCGACGCCAGGTCCGGACAAGAGTTCGGCGGCGGGTCTGGAGCTCCTCCCCGACATGGGCGGCCTCCCTCACTCTTACGCCCTGGGTGTGTGTGGAATGCCCGGTGTCAGCGCCTACTTCGGCTTCCTGGAGCTGTGCCAGCCCAAGGAGGGCGAGACGGTGGTGGTGACGGGCGCGGCCGGCGCCGTCGGCAGCCTCGTCGGACAGATCGCCAAGATCAAGGGATGTCGCGTCATCGGCTTCGCCGGAACGGACGACAAGTGCGCGTGGCTTCGTGAGCTCGGCTACGATGTGGCCATCAACTACAAAACGTGCCCAGACATCGACGCTGCCCTGAAGGAGGCTGCACCCAAGGGGGTTGACTGTTACTTCGACAACGTGGGCGGCATGCTCAGCCATCGGGTCCGGCAGCAGATGAACCTGTTCGGTCGAGTCTCCTGTTGCGGCGCCATCTCCAGTTATAACGCGAAGACGGGGGAGGGTGCCACGGTGCCTGTGCCGGAACCAGCTATCGTCTTCAAACAGCTCAAGATCGAGGGATTCATCGTCCGGCGCTGGTGGCACCGCAAAGACGAGGCGATTTCACAGATGGCCGCCTGGGTTCGTGAGGGCAAGATCAAGGTGCAGGAGCACGTCACCGAGGGATTCCACAAAATGCCACAGGCCTTCATCGGCATGCTGAAGGGAGATAACACCGGCAAGGCAATCGTCAAGGCCTAATCAGCACCACTTGCGCAATGCTCACACAACCAATGCTGCGAACAAATTCATCTTTAATCCACTTCATTTGAATGCTCAAATGCATGAAAATGATTCATCATGCGCAGATCGTTTACCTATAAGGAAAAGGCTCGAAAACCGAAGCCTACTAATTGCCCGACCTGTGATACATGTGCACTAGGCCAGTTACACCATCAAGTACTCAAAGGCACGCCGCGCATCTACGTAGTTTGTGCAATGCATTGTGTGTTCAGTGTTGTTATCGTTATTTGTATCAACATTTATTTCTTCATGAATAAAGCACCTGATGCTTTAAATGCTTTGGGGGAGGGGGAGGCTGGAGAGTAAATCGAAAGATTGGGACGATTCATTGCATTTGCAAACGAAGATACTACGAAAAAAAACTATTCCAGCGTCCAAGGAAATGCATACATAAACAAGGGCTATCCATGAAAGATAGACATGCATGTTGACAGCAGCAGTCAAACTTGCAATACATAAGCACTTTTAGCTTAGGTACTTACGTGTTACGCCAGTTGGTTATCTGGGCTGATACAGGATTTATTACAGGAGGATGAGGTCACGACACAGGGTCATGAATTCCTTCTCCCAAAGCACTGAGAGTAAGTTTAAGTTGTTCCCTGCCCCAAATAACAAGGCATAAATATTGGCGGGTAAAGTTAGTTCACTGTTTTTACTAAAAAGGCTATATCAGTCGTTGTCGGTTAAAATGCGCGGTCTGCAAAAGATGCATGTTCGTTTCACCGGAAGGGGAAAATAAACAAAAACGGAAAGGCGTGATATCCAAGGAATAGGTATCTGGCGGATACCGGATGGATGCCTGAGCTGCTTGTCAATCTCAAAATTAAAAAAAAAATATTGCTTATCACGCGTTTATCACACGATGCTCTGAATGCACCGTTATATTATGCGAAACTCTCCCTTCTCCCTCTTTCCATTCCCTCCCTCCCTCCCTCTCTCTCTCTCTCTCTCTCTCTCTCTCTCTCTCTCTCTCTCTCTCTCTCTCTCTCTCTCTCTCTCTCTCTCTCTCTCTCTCTCTCTCTCTCTTCCACTTCTCTATCTGAAAGTCATCATTTCCTGTAAGATCAAATAGCAATGATAACAAACAAATATTCCATGTGCGAGTCCGAGTGCCTGTGTCTACAACTTGACTCGGCGAGGCCGCCATGGCGGCGATGTGCGTGAGGCCGCGTGCGCACGTCCCGCCTGTACTGTTTTCCCACTTGCTGTTGGCCGCCGACGCTCGCTATCGATTCGGCAGTCAGCGTGACTGGGCCGTGGTCGCCTGCATGACTCAGCATTCAGCAGGTAAGGACGCGGCTGAGGAGCCGCGGGGCGAAGGCCACTACTCGGCGCCGCGCGCCACCCGGACTCTCACTCCTGAATCTACTCTGGGAGGCGGCGGCCGCTCTGCAGACCTGGTGTCAGTGACCGTCGAATCCCCGACTTATACAGGTGAGACTATAGTAGCGATCGCAGGCGGCCCTGGTCACAATTCATTGTGACCAGGGCCGGTACAGAACAGCGCCTCCGTCCATATCGCATGTCTTTGAGTAAGCAGTGGGTAACAGTTGTGTGGCTGGGACTGTTACGTAACATACCCAGGGCTCCATACTTGACGTGTAGTTAGTTGCCTGATGTTCCCAGATAGCTGCGTTCCACCATGTTGGGTATCGTTTCATGGTTTCATCAAAGTGGACACGACGGGTGTAAGAAAGGAGCGCCAGTTGTTAAAAGGGCTTAAACGCTCTCTTGTTAATTTTTTTTCTTCTTCATAAAGTCTCAATTTAAAGCCACGGATAAGGACGACCCTTCATATATGAATCTTCTAGACCGAAGGGATCCAAAATGTGGCATAGGTAATCGTTTACCCACCGAAGCATGGCATCGAATAATTACGACTTTGATCATAGTTATTGATTATTCAGAACAACTCCAAACACCCCTCTTTAAGAGTTCGCGAACGATACCCATCCTATCCTATATATCTATCAAAACCCTTCCCAAGTCCCAACCCACAATTACCCTTCTCGATATATGTAGTTATAATTGTGAGTTGCATAGGATCGTTGGTCTGGTATGTTGAATAAGACCCTTTCGGTCTGAGACCATTTAAACTGAAGAAGCTGAGAACATTGTCATAACATTGGAAAATCCCGTCGTTGACGTGAGTCACTGACTTTCCACAGGTCACCATGAAGGCCGAGAAATTCACTCTGGTGCGCCACTTTGATGGCTTCCCCAAGACGACCGACTTCAAGCTGGAGTCGGAGGAGCTCCCGCCGCTGAAGGACGGCGAGGTCCTCTGCGAGGCAGAGTTCCTCAGTGTCGACCCCTACATGCGGGGCTACGTGAGGAGCATGACTCCGCCAGTTACCATGATCGGAAGCCAGATCGCCAAGGTCATCGACAGTAAGAACAAAGAGTTCCCGAAAGGCTCCTACGTGTTCGGACAGATGGGCTGGCGATCGCTGAGCGTTGTCGATCTGGGCACTAAATCGTTTGACAAGAACGCTCCCGAATCGTTCCGCCGCAGCAAGGTTGCAATTCTGGAGCTTCTGCCCGACCTGGGCGATCTGCCACGCTCCTACGGCCTGGGTGTGTGCGGCATGCCGGGAACCACCGCCTACTTCGGCTTCCTGGAGCTGTGCCAGCCCAAGGAGGGCGAGACGGTGGTGGTGACGGGCGCGGCCGGCGCCGTCGGCAGCCTGGTCGGACAGATCGCCAAGATCAAGGGATGTCGCGTCATCGGCTTCGCCGGAACCGACGACAAGTGCGCGTGGCTTCGTCAGATCGGCTTCGATGTTGCCATCAACTATAAGACGTGCGCCGACATCGACGCTGCTCTGAAGGAGGCTGCACCCAAGGGGATCGACTGTTACTTCGACAACGTGGGCGGCATGCTCAGCCACCGCATTCGGCAGCAGATGAACCTGTTTGGGCGCATTTCCGTATGCGGTTCCATCTCCAGCTACAACAACAAGACGGGTGAGGTTTCTCAGGTGCCTGTGCCGGAGTCGACAACAGTCTCCAAGCAGCTCAGGATTGAGGGCTTCAATGTCACTCGTTGGTGGCACCGAAAGAATGAAGCGATCATGCAGATGGCCACCTGGGTTCGTGAAGGGAAGATCAAGGTGCAGGAGCATGTCACCCAGGGATTCCACAAGATGCCACAGGCCTTCATCGGCATGCTGAAGGGAGATAACACCGGCAAGGCAATCGTCAAGGCTTGAGTAAACATCCATATCGAAGCCGGCAAATGAGAATACTCTGCGTTGTGAAATACAAAAGCATACGATAGGTGTGCTTCAATTTGAGATGCGAGGCATTTCACCATCCTCATCAGTCATGCATGCAGTTATGCGTCAAAGGACAATAGTGGTGCTGAAATCTGGGCACAATTTGTGTCAGGTATTGTGAACAAACCTATAAAATATATGCACTGGTACAAATATTTGTGACTTTCTTCATGGCACCAGTACATACCTACGGGCGTTTGCATTGGAATCCGGAAAATGTGAGGGGAACTGACCAACGCGTTCACCTTCCTACACAGCATCACAAAGCCTCACTTGCGACAATGCCTGTACCTTCCCGTGAGGTGAAACTCAGTCCACCCTCGTCTTGCACCGATCTCAGCCTTTAAACGACCCTCAAAGCTGCCCTCAAACGATGCTATTTTCTGGATAAGTGCCGGACGATTATAATCCTCCGGGGGTTGAGAGTGGTGGAGACTCGTTAGCTGGATTCTTCATAAAAAAACTCAGAGATGGTAATCACAGGGATTCAGGTTGGGACTGCATGGAGACCGAAACTCCTTCGACCAACCATCCGTATAATCTCATTACACCTCATCTGGACCAGTTGGAGCATGTGTGCACGAGCTCCAGCCGCATGCTAAACGGCAGCTTCGCATTCCTGCAAACAGTCGAGGTGGGCCTCCCTCGTGACTAATAAGCCTAACTACCTTGAAGGTCGGAAGGCATGACGTCTCCTACCCTGAGAGTGGAGAGTCGGAGACCATCTGCTCCAGAAAGCCCTCATTCATTTCCTAAACCCCAAATGTCAAAATGATGTTTTCTCACCGCGAAATTTAGCGCGGGGTCATCACTCATCACCAAATTGCAGTCTTTCAAAGAGACATCAGCTATTGGTGACACCAATAGCTGATGTCTCTTTGATTGAAAGACTGCAATGTAGTAAACGGCACAATTTGGAATCCGCAAGACGTTCATACACCTCCTCACTTAAACGACAGCAAAGAAATACTACAATAATCATGCTGTGGGCAGTGGCGATTGAATTTGAAGGAACTGATAGGTACTTGAACTTATGTTTTTGTCCCTTCTTAATTCGTTTAGTGCTTGCTGAATGTAAGGCATTTAAATCGTACCTATAATTGTTTTTATTGTATTTATTTTTGTAAGGACGTCATTCATAAGAAATTAAACGAATATGTTTTCGTCAATCGAAGGCGATTTAAGTCACAGTCCTATGGGGGAAACGGAACGGTATATTAAAACGGTTAAAGGTCCTCTTGGTACGAAGGATGATAACCAATATCTTGACGAAAGATGCTCTTTTGCTCATCTGGAAGGTACCTACAACCGGGTATCTATGCTCATCTGGTAGGTACCTACAACCGGGTAGGACCAGGTTACGACATACCCGCCTGAAGTGTCGGCCTCCAATATTACATTTACTAATCAATGTTTACACAAGGATACGATTAACACAAAAATCTCCCTTGCTCTTTCTTCCTTCCTTTTTCTTTTGCTTTTTTATCTCTAATTGCGTCTGTATACTGTATCTATGCTCTCCCTCCATCTCTATTGAAAAATCAACATTTGCCTGTCGGTAGGTACCTACTGTAGGAAGCAAACGGCGATGATAACACAAAATGTTCCATTATGTAACGCATGTCGCCAAAAGCCTGTAGGTATCTACAACTTGAATGAGAAGGACCGCAGCGGCAGTCGCAGCGAGCTGCGTGCGACCGCATGACTTGCGTTCCCATTCTGTGTTTGCCATGGGCAGACGGCATAGGCGCATCCAGAAAGATATCGGACGATGCTTGGGGAACACTCGCAAATTGCCTTATAACTACTTAAAATTTCACAAATTTCGCTTCATGCTGTATTAGGTATGTGAGTTTAAGCAAACTTTTGTCCTACAAAGGTTGCTATATTTACTTTCTACGGCAGGAAAACGACCCAGTTTAGTCGTTTTCGGACGCTGCGGGAGGGGCATCTGGCAGTCATCTTTGGTCGCATGCGTGACTCAGCAAGATGGGACGAGGCGGCGGAGTGGCGGGCGAAGGTCGCTCGGCGACTCAGGCGCCGCTCCTCACTTCTGCCGATATTCTCCGGGAGGCGGTGCCCACTGTCCAGCTGCCAGCGACTGTTTTACTTTACAGGTGAGATTCGTAGCGAGAGCATTTAGGCGAGATGGGATGACCTCAGGCCACTAGATGACCTCAGGCCAGACCATGTTCATTCCGGCCTCCTCTAAGCTGGTGGTCTGCACCATGGGAGACGTGACTTACGTAACGGACGATGATTCCGCGATTCGCTCCGTCGTTATTCGGTGTGATTGAAAATAACCGATGCTAAGTAACTAAAAACTAAGTACGAAGCATCCATTGCGGTTTAAAACGACTCAGATGTTCTCTTCGTCATACTCGTATATGATGTTAGGGCGACCGCACTTCTGAGGTCATCGGAGTCTTCTGTCCTTATTAGTTATTATTGATGTCAGTCAAAGCCAAAATTGGCATAAGGATGACAAAACATAAAAAATATTTACCTTCTTATTTGAAACTGAAATCCCAACCCGTCGCGCTCTAGGTAGCTAATCTGAGTTTCCTACATAGACCTATGTGCGTAAGAAATAACTTATATTCCACAGGTCGGCATGAAGGCCGAGAAGTTCACTTTGGTGCGCCACTTTGATGGCTTCCCAAAGACGACCGACTTCAAGCTGGACTCGGAGGAGCTCCCGCCGCTGAAGGACGGCGAGGTCCTCTGTCAGGCAGAGTTCCTCAGTGTCGACCCCTACATGCGACCTTACACGATGAGCATGACTCCTCCCCTCACGATGATCGGAGGTCAGATCGCCAAGGTGGTGGAGAGCCGCAACGTCAAGTACCCGGCGGGCTCGTATGTGATCGGGCAGCTGGGCTGGCGGTCGCTAACCATCGTCAGCCTGGACAGCAGTCCGTTCCACAAAGACGCTCCCGAATCGTTCCGCCGCGGCAAGGCCGAAGTTCTGGAGCTTCTGCCCGACCTGGGCGACCTGCCGCGCTCCTACGGCCTGGGTGTGTGCGGCATGCCGGGAACCACCGCCTACTTCGGCTTCCTGGAGCTGTGCCAGCCCAAGGAGGGCGAGACGGTGGTGGTGACGGGCGCGGCCGGCGCCGTCGGCAGCCTAGTCGGACAGATCGCCAAGATCAAGGGATGTCGCGTCATCGGCTTCGCCGGAACCGACGACAAGTGCGCGTGGCTTCGTGAGCTCGGCTACGATGTGGCCATCAACTACAAAACGTGCCCAGACATCGACGCTGCCCTGAAGGAGGCTGCACCCAAGGGGATCGACTGTTACTTCGACAACGTGGGCGGCATGCTCAGCCACCGCATTCGGCAGCAGATGAACCTGTTTGGTCGCATTTCCGTGTGTGGTTCCATCTCCAGCTATAACGACAAGACTGGAGAGGGTGCTCAGGTGCCTGTGCCGGAGATGACAACAGTCTTCAAGCAGCTCAGGAGCGAGGGTTTCATTGTCACTCGTTGGTGGCATCGCAAGAATGAAGCGATTTCACAGATGGCCGCCTGGGTTCGTGAAGGGAAGATCAAGGTGCAGGAGCACGTCACCGAGGGATTCCACAATATGCCACAGGCTTTCATGGGAATGTTGAAGGGAGATAACACCGGCAAGGCAATCGTCAAGGTTTGATCTACCCTTTCACAGTCGCAAGTGATAATGCTCTGCGTTGTGAAATGCACAGGCGCACAGCATGCAGCTCTTTGTATCCGAAGCATTACCAATTATATCTGTGAACGTGTGAAAGAGCTTAGCGACGCTGAACGTACCAACTAATGCTGCAATTTGGGCATACTTTGTAGAAAATGAAGAAATGTGATCGAATCTCATATGGAATCAGAGAACTATACCTATAATTTGATAAAAAAAAAATGTTCGAGCGACTTGCTTTTTGCATGCAGTAATTCATTAATATGTCAAGTACATTGCACAATACAAGATTCTCGCGTCAGGTATCCAATAAGAGTATTCAAATGAATGTTGTCTATGGGGTTCACCATGAACACCACACGATGCACGAATGGATGTATTTCCCATATGAAAATGACGATAGGGAACACGGAACATGATCCATCTCAGACGTTGGATACGAGCATGCAAGACGCATCTTGTTGAATGATGATCACATACATGCACATTATCTTGACTGGTGTACACTTTGTAAAAAGCCTAGCAAAGTACAGCTATGAGGACCACCGATTGGACCGACGCAGCCACCGCACGGCATCCTTACATTGTCCCCTCGCCATCAGTCACCATATCACCGGGACACCACATCATGCCAATCCCAGAGCCTTGTGGTTGGTCCACAGCCAGTTGTGGTAGAGGTTCAGCTTGTGGTCATGCGGCCGCACCTGTTTCCACTCGCCCAGGCAGAAGATCCGGTACGAGTCGTTGCCGTACTTGCCGATGCCGTACAGTTCGTTTGGGTAGTGCCACGTCTTGGTTACAAACTCGTCTGAAACAGGAGTGGGTCGGCATTCAAAGATTCGAACATGGCAGCATCACACACGTAACTTGCCAACGCGTTACAAGCAGCTGATGAAGCTTCACGCAGCTCTGATGGTCCGCATATATTTGGAATACAATGTCGATGTATTTCAGCTGATCAGACGGGTGATAAAGGATAGCTATTGGCTATGACCATTCCCTAAAAACCCGCGCTGTTCAACAGAGCACGCTCCGTGCCAGGAGAGCTCACCTGAGAAGCGCACGATGCACTGAGAGCGGCGCTCGACCAGGCCGAGCGGCCGGAGCAGCTCCATCAGGTCTGTCTCGTCGGCGTCACGCGCCGCCTCGGGGGTCGGCCAGCGCTCAAAGAACGTCTCCAGGAGGGGCACAGCCTGCCGGCCTGGACACACACGGCCGGGCGCTAGCTTCGGGTGGGGCATGGCATGCAGATCATACCAAACTATTTCAAACATATATACAATAAAAGGGACCACAAAAATGGTTGTCGAATACTCTTAATGCTGCAGAGCTTGATCTAACCCTAATAAGCCAGCTATATGCTGTGCAAATGCATACCTACGACATATTGAGTAGAAAAAAACATACAGCACATGGGTCGACGCGTTTCGTCAGAGACTTTTTCAAATTTCAACACCCTTAGACTTAGACTTATTTCGTCGACTCCATCTAGTAGATGCAGGATCATTTCTGATCGTCTTCCAATTATGTTGGCGGTCTGGATGATATAAATTTTCAGGACATCATAGTTGGGAGGACTCTTTAGCAGTTAATCTTCTTGGTTATACTATCAGTGAGTTCCTTGCGCACACGGGCTTGGTAGATATAATGGATGATCAAGCTTTGTGGCTTATCGGCGATGATGATAAGTTCTGCTGCTGGTAGCGTTCTGTTCAAGATAGTTTTGTATATTTTTTGAGCAGCTACTCTATCGTCTTTCAGTTTGTCACATTCAAAGAGCATGTGTTCCAGAGTTTCAATGGCATTACGACACAATGGACAGACAACAGTTTCTTTGTGCTTTCTAACCATGCTTGTGGCCACCAAAGAGTGGCCCGTTAGTAGGACAATTTTGATTAGTGTCGCTTGTCTGGTAATTGCGCTGTACTTGATTGCCGGCCAAAATGTTTTCGGCGCCTCGTACTTTTCGGTTTGTGGCAGTAGCGAAAGCCAAAACAAACTTGTCATATTCTCTGCTGTGTTCCTGATGATTTTTGTCATACTTTGATCCACTGATGCAGATGCTAACTTGTTCCATGCTGTCCGCGGTTGGTCTATTTTTTGATTAGCCAGAATAGAGAGAGAGGCTTGGCAAGTTCAGATGTTGGAGCAATGTTTCCCATTGGCGCACAAGACTCGTGGTTCGATCAGCATTGACTGCTCCATGGGTGATGATATATCTGGTTAGAGTGTGTTCCTTCGCAGCTCTCAAAAGGAAACCTATGAATTGGAGTGCGGTTCTCACTACGAGGCTTGTGCATGTCGGTGCACCCAACATAACATATATCACCATTTTTTGCGTTTTGGTTGGTAAACCTTGGATGAGACGGTAAATGCGCATGAGCATCCCTTCCAAATACATGATATCTGTTGGTGAAAGGGATGTAACTGCTAGGCTGTAAATTAGAACCGGTTCAGCATATATTCTCCACGTTGTATAGTGTGACATCGGATTGTCCATTTTAAGGTTGATTCCTTTCTTACACTTGGCAAAAAATGTTCTTGCTTTCTTCATGCATTCTTCTATCCTTCTCTTTGCTGGACTTCTGGTCTCTGAATAAGTCTGGTCTTCTGGTCTTCTGGTCACCCGAATAAGTCTCTGACGAAACGCGGCCACTCATTTGCTGAATGTTTTTCATACTCAATATATATCTAATTGTAATGTCTATACCTACGACATATGCTTCTGGGTCTGGAAAGCTGAAACAAATGAATTTAGGCTGAACTAAAATGCATCTCACAATGAGTTATGAACAGAGAAGAGTAACCTTCGTCATAAGAACGATGCTTGTTGGTCCCTAATAACAAAACTGTCCGTGAAATGTGAATCACGATACAGGCATACTACTGAGGCTACTTAGTACTCACCGGTCGTTCTGTTCAGGAATATGGTGCCGATGAGAAGTTTCCAAGGCTCGTGGTAATATGTCTCCTGCATCAGTTTGTAGGGGGAGCGGGGTGGCACCCAGCGCCGGCCGACCGACAGCCCTGGTGCGCCCACAGCCAGCGGTAAGCATGTACGCCGGTATGTGCCGGTAACGGGTTTAGTGGTATCTTTATATGCATCACTAAGCTATAAAAAACAATATGGAAATTTCTCTAACATAAGTAACTTGCTTACGATTAGCAAAGGGATTTGCACTGAAAGACCGAAAGACGCACTGATTTCAAACAAAAAGATTGCTAAGGATACATTTGCACCTTTGAACTAATTATGTTCATTGTTCAATTTCATTAAGGATACAGGTAGGTATCGATAATGAATTCCAAATTTACGTAATACACGTCTGAAATAGGCCATAACACTCTAAGGCCCTTCAGGCATCTTGAAATTTCTTTACAAGAACCTCTTAGATCTGGGTTTCGAGTGCCGCACCTTCAGAGCCTTGAGGGGTGCTCGAAGTCGAAAGTCCAACGCACCTCACGTGGTTGTCAGGCTATACCCAAGTATAATACGGGCGTCGGCGAGGCCCCCTATCTCACAAGGCCGTAGCAGTAGGGCATGAGCTGAGGCGGCGGTAACGGGACAACCAGTTCCAGGCTATTGGTCGTCCACTGAGCGTTACGCCAATCGTATCGTGAACAAATAATCAGCCGCAATCTGCACCTAAACGTTAAAGGTAGTGTGCCACCTTTGAAAGATTTCCCATTTTATTTTTCCTAGGATAAGAAGCTTCTGTTTTTACCTAATATCGCAAAAAAAAATCAAAAATGGGCCTGGAATAGTGCCTTTTTCGCCTAAAAGTTTATCGGTTTTTAGATATGTATAACAACTGTAGTGGGCTCACCTGCAAACAGGCGTCGGGCAACAATCGCGAATGCGGCGCACTTGTGACAATAAGCAAAGGTCATTATAGTGTTACGACCACAGGGGAGCAATGCCGCTTCAACCCTATTGGCCGTAGTGTCTAACGGTGGCGGCCATATTGCGCAGACCAGAAACCGGCTGCCGCCTGTGTTGAGGAATAGGGAATTCGGGACCTCGATTTACGTTTGCGGCCGCTGTATCCGTTACGTTCAAGTTACGTAGATACGGAACCCGGCATCTTACGCAGAATTGAGTGGGGAACACGATCGTATCTTCAGAATTCCTCAAATTCACTCGCCTGACCTACATTTGCCCCGGCCGAGGGGGTTGATTGAACCCACCTCGCTAATGCACCGCTAATTAAACTAGAATTAAGCGGTAAAGTGGTCGTATGCGGCAAAGTATAATGCAGAGTGACTGGTAGGAACCCGCTGTAAGGGTCTCAGGTCAACCGGTGACCTCTGAGGTCAGGTCAAGTGATCTAAGGCACGGGTTCGGTTTTTGGTAAATAGCTTCGCCAAAAATGGCCGTAGAGCCGCGATTTTGGCATCATCGTGTTCAGCTAGCTCAGGCGCATCGAGTGATATACTTTTTGTTCGGGTCAGGTCAACTTAGGGTGTTGGCCTCAGGTCAAGGTCAGGTTAGCACCCCCAGGTCACGAAGTTGGTCGAAAGAGGTCATGTCGCATATCATTCGATTCGGCAGGTCTTCCTGAGTCCATTGGTGGCTTTCCCGACTCGCTAGCTCAATTTGATCGGGAGTTATTGAAGAAAAAATGTGACCCTTGTGACGTCACAGATGACGTCACGCAAGGGCAACAATGCAAATATGAAGCATAGAACCCTGCAAAAAGTGCATGAAATCATGATTCTATATGCTTGAGATAGTTTCAGATCATTCTCGGCGCCAAAATAGCAATTTTCATATTTCCCCATTGACTTATAAGGGTTTAACGTATTAGTTCCTTGTAGCTGAGGATTTTTTAGGATTTCATCTTGTTCTCCACTCAATTCTGCGTAAGATGCCGGGTTCCGTGTCCACATAGCTTGAGCGTAACGGATGCAGCGACCGCAAACGTAAATCGAGGTCCCGAATTCCCTATTCCCCAGCACAGGCGGCGGCCGCTTTCTGGTCTGCGCAACATGGCGGCACCGTTGGACACCATTTGGCGGCCGATGCGCATTCCACATTATAGAGTTCAGTGGTTACGACCATACGACGTACGGGAATGAGTTATCAGCTGTCTAATCGTAGACAACACAATGTCGAGCCTTAAACTGTAAGCCCGTATTGGTATTGTTTCTTTTATTTGGCTGTCGAACATTATTTATGGTTTGAAATATGATTTTATGTAAAATAATTGATATGAAAAAGCCGTCTTATAAGTTATGACCCCATTTCACCACACGCAAGTGGCAGAAATGACAATGATCAGCTGACGCATTTTTCTTGGCCGAAGTCAGAGCGCGCAGCCCGACGCACCACCACCGCACCACAAAGTATGAGCAGAAGCCGCGCCCAAAGCCAGGGCCCCGGTAACGTGAGGTAGCCGAGTCGGGGCAGCGTGCGCTGACCCAAGCCGGGGCCGCAGCTTTGGGCGCGGTCTACCGCATCCCCGCGGGCAGCCCCGGGCTATCACATGACACCGGGAGGACGCGCGGCTCCGGCTTGGGTCAGCGCACGCTGCCCTGACTCGGCTACCTCACGTTACCGGGGCCCTGGCTTTGGGCGTGGTCTACCGCACCACCTAACAGGCGTGTTCGAAACCGCAGGAGCTGATGATGAACGGGTTTATCGAAACTTGATTGGATGAGCATATCGGTAATAGCGATTTCAGTGTGTGCATTTATTGTTCATAGTGGTGTGAAATGTGGTTGGGGTACGACCGACAACCCGTCGGGGCGAATTTCGCACTGGGGTACTCAAAATTTGAAGAATTTAAGACGTTTCCATGAGTTTTGAAGGTATGGATAAGTTCTAAAAATCCGGTTCTCCTTATCTGGGCCATTAACTCCATACGGTCCAAGAAAGCTGGCACACTACCTTTAAATTGCATTCAAAAGTGCTTCGAAGCAGAATATTTAACTTCATCTAACCCATTCATACTCTCAGGGAAAACAATGGAGTAATAACACCCAAATCGTTAAAAACTTAGCATATGAAAAAGGTTACAATCTCCAAATGTAGAAGGCTTTTAATAAGCGAAAGTGGCCAGCTTTCCAGAAATGTTTTACAGAAGACAGGGTGTACGCTGGTGCGTACAACGTACGCTGTTCAGTATTCACTTTTCAGTAAATAAGAGTTCATCATTTAGGTTTGAGGACACTAACTCGGGCTGGCTAGGCCAGCTCAATCTCAGCGACTAGGTATGTTGTGCGCTGATAAGCGTGTCGCAATGAACACTGAGCAGAGCGCCCAGCACACTATTGGTGATCTGGTGATCTGACTAGGAGTAAGGGCGTAGCCCGAGTGACAGCTCTCTTCTCGTAGAATCACGAGCGGCAACCGGCTCGTCCACACGGGTAACTAACACATTAGTCCTTACTTATCTTTTTCAGCTAATATAATGGAAAATGGTAAATAACAGAAGAGATTCCCAGACAACGCATGGTAGCCTTACACAGGTGTTTACCAATACGACACGCCAGCAGTTCGGGAGAATACCCTCAGCTCGATGCCATCCACTTGTGACCTGACCTGACAAGACCCGGGGCTATTTCCTATCGAGGCTGAGACGGGCGAATGGAAAGCGAGTAACTCAGAAATATCTCAGACAGTATGAAGCTATAGCAAATGTGCACGACCAGATCCTTCATAGCTTTTGGTATTTCTTATACCAAAATAGCCCAAGTTTGTGTTTATATAATTTCGTGTGCTTGCAAACATTTTCACTGTTGCAAGCTGCCTCGTAAAAAGCGGATGTGGCGATTAATAATTATCAGGTGGTTATCAGGTGGTTACGTAACGATTAATGCCAGGTTCATTTTCTCGATCTCTGAAACGGGCTAACATGTTCCATGCGGTGAATTTGAAGGATGGAGGGACGATCCCTCGTAGTCTTCCCCTTATACAATGTCGTTTTAGAAAAAGTATCTTGTACCTAGAAAACACTGTATTACATTCAATGACAAGAGTACGCATTTAAACACAAGAACTATAAACAACACTACACAATGGATGCAATGGCTTCATTCGTCGTTTCCTTCAACTCTTACCGAGCGTTAGCACGGCATCGAAACCCCAGCGGATGCGGTGACGCCTTTCGATGAACGCAGTGTTCAGCCCTCGCAAAACTCGCGCAAATAATAAAGCCGTAAAACCGAGCATATCTGGCAGTCCCTGACCACTCGATTTCGTCCCAGGTCAGGTCAGGTCAGGTCACGAGCGCGCCCAGCTGGCCCGCGGTCGTCTCGACTCACCGGGCTGCCGTCCACCGGCCGGCTGCAGCCGGCGCCGCGCAAAGTTAAACTTGAGTTTGATTTTCTGGTGCACATCGTCCGAGCTGGCCCCCGGCCGCAGCTTGGGCTTGGCTTTGATTCCGCGGGCGAGCTTGATGGCCTTGGCGACGCGCGCTTTGGCGGCGTGGGACGGCACGCGCACAGACGAGGTCTCCCGCTGGCGGCGGGCGTGCGGCATGCCCACCTGACCGTGCGCGTTGAAACAGAACCGCGCCGGGTCCAGGTCACTCCCGATCTGCTCCAGGTACACACGCACTTCGTTCTGTGATCGGAACTTCTTTCCCATGGGGCTGAGGAAAAGAGAGTGGCGGAGCATAAGTCGACGACAATATGAACAGAATAATGGTGTTATTGGCTGGGGTGGTGCTTGCTCGTCTGTTACAAGGACTGGTGTAATTATACACACTTACACAAGAACACCCGCAGGACACCATTCCGTTTACAGTCTTCAGTGACCAGATACAAGGCGTATAAATTGACTGAAAACAGAGATAGGATAAGCTTGACAAACATGACAAAAACGGTCACATTGTAATCATAAGCATGTAATACAACACAAATTGCGCACAGTGGTTGATCAACATGCTGAAAACACGCTGAAAAGGTACGTCTATATACCACAGATCGTGTTATCTGTCTGGGGTACAGAGTCAGAGTCAGCTAACTGCATGGGCAAGGTCGACAAACAAACAAATGACAAAGGTAAAGAAGTGTAGGTGCTAAAGCAAGATAGATGCTAAAGCTAAAACCAGTCAATTATGAATACAGTCGCTTCTAACTGGCAATCCTCACTTGTAAACGTAGACGTCCCATTTGCCTGCCGAGGCGCCGGTGGAGCGCTGCACACACTTGCGCGTCCAGCCCTCGGGCAGCGCCGGATCGTCGAAGTAGACACCATCTGTGGGATGACGGCCGTCAGAGGGCGCCGCTGGCACAGCGCTATCGGCAGGCGGCGCTGCGCGAGCGACACGAGAGCGACCGGTCTCGCACCGACAGGTCAGCGATTTCATCACGACGGTTAGTCAGTAGTAATAAGTTCTTGATAGACCCTTGTAAACAAAACACTGGGAATGGTTTACTTTACCAATGACAACCAACCGCAAAAGATGTTGGACTTATGTTGTCGCTGAGCAGATTATTACACCGGTAAGCTGGCAAAAATGTAAGATTTATCGTCAGTGCACATTACCAGTAATGCCCATTCAAATGAGCTGAGGGCATTACTCAAATGAGAATGGAAAGATTCAACCCATAAAGTTTCCTACATAAGCTTTTTTTTACCAGTGGGCACTGCCAATGCCTTAAAGTGTCATGGATACGGACAAATGCACTGTTTAGAATACCCATCAGGAGAAAGAAACCCATTGTGTATCAATGGTTCTTGAATTTATGGACTAAGTTATACAAGGTCTATAATTGGGCTACCTATCCATTTCTTGATCTTGACAACATGCATCACATGCAATGCAGCATTTTGACTAGATATGCACATGCAGTTCACACTTCGATCCAATATACATGAGATTAACTCAGATAGAAAAGAACTTTGAGACAACAAAACTTTCTGATGAGTAGATGTTGGCATTTGGCAAATAAAAGCAGGCACCATGTTCAATGTTGACTATCCCTCTGTCAGGAGGTCTCCATAATATGAACTAATTAACAGGTTCTCATTTCCCAGTTGTTCTGTTCTGCGCCCGCCGGATCCTCAGTCCGCACTGACACGACACGCACCGCTCTGCACATATATTGCCGGCTCGGACGGCACGCACACCTTGACGGCTCGCTCGACACTGCCCGCTCTCCGCCGGCGCCGGCCGGCGGCCGCTCGGCGGGCCAAGGCCGGGCCCTTCTCATAACGGGGGATGCGGGCCCGTATCATAACACCTCCCCCCAAGACCTTCGCTCTAACAAAAGCATACTTTGATATGTTAGACGAATGTCTTCAAACAAAAGTAATCTCCGTTAAGCGAAGCATCCATCAAGGAAGACGAGAACTATTGCGCGATACAACGAAATGCAGTTACAGTGACAAAACACATGTCGGGGCATTCGCAGCGTGCACACGCTATCACTCATACGTGTTGGTGTCCCAGCGGACTTGCAGTCGCTGCGGCTCACGACGCTGGCGACCACTTTGACGGGGCTCCGCCGCTTGCGTCGCCGCCGTTCGGCGGGCGGGCGGTTGCTGCAGCGCCTCCCGCCGGGTCGGCGGCGCCCGCGCCGCGCTGGGAACCTCCGGTGGCTGCGGCTCCGCGCCGCTGGCCAACATCGGGCGGTGTGGTCTCAGGAAACGCCTGTTTCTCCAATATATGCGGCCGCTTGGCATCTTTACAAGGTAGGTGCGGCGCTGTCCCACGCCGACGATCACACCCGTACGGTCCCAGCGGCCGTTCTCGGTGCTCTGCACGTCGACGCGGCAGCCGACGCGCAGTCCAGAGAGGGGGCGCGCTGTGGCGTCGTGACGGCGCTGTACGTCGTCTCGGAGGTCGGCCGCCCTCGCGTCGCACGCGTCGGCGGCGCGCTGCCATTCAGGTGCGTATGCTCGGTGATGGGTCGGCACGCCTGACCGCAGCGGATGACCAAACAGCGTCTGGGCTGGTGACCTGCCGTCGGCCCGTGGCGTGTTTCGCAGCTCGAGGAGACCTCGGTCGAGCTGATCGTCGTCCAGCCGTCCGCTCGCCGAGGCAGCCACGATTATTTTCTTCACCGTTTTCACGGCAGCCTCGGCGTGACCGTTGGATCTCGGGTACCGTGGGGATGACATCTCGTGGCGGACTTCCCACCGGTCCAGAAATCGCCGGAGCGTGGAGGAGGCGAACTGCGGTCCGCCGTCTGTCCGCAGTACGGTGGGAACACCCGTCTGAGAAAACAGCCGCCGCAGCTGCTTCACCAGGTGGTCCGCCGAGGCCGTCCTGGGGCAGACCGTTACATACGGCCAGCCTGACAGTCTGTCCACGTACACGAGGTAGGTCCGGCCGGCGACATAAAAATAATCTGCCGATACCGACTCGAAAACGCGGCTGGTGAGATCGTCTTCCACCCATAAGGGTTCATTGCTGTGACTGGCAGCGAGCTGCCTGCAGCTCTGGCATGCAGAGACGGCGTTGCATATGTCCCGGTCAATCCCCGGCCAATACACGGACAGCCGTGCGCGGCGTTCGGTTTTCTCCATTCCTTGGTGAGAATCATGTAGTCGGTCGAGAACGTTGCGGCGTAGACTGGCCGGAATCACGAGCCTCGCTCCGTAGACGACGAGCCCGTCGTCGACCGCCAGCATTGAGCGGACACCCCAGTAGGGCCGCAGAGCTGGTGCCACTTCGTGTCGGTGGTCGGGAAATCCTGCCAGGATGACGTCACGGAGGGCTCGATACTCGGGATCGCGGGCGGCCGCCGCTCGAACCGAGTCCAGAGTCCGGTCTTGGAGCGGAGCGACCAGGGCACCGTCCTCGGAGGTCGCGCTCAGAGTAGCGACCACGGCGTCGTGCAGTGCCTCCGTCACCTCCGCGACTTCGTCTCCCGTTGCTGGGTCGGACACTGGAGCGCGTGACAGGGCGTCCGGGATGCAGTGCGAGGCCCCCTTTTGCCACACAGCAGTGAAGCTGTAGATCGACATTTTCTCCCGCATCCGCTGGAGGCGAGGGTTGTCGATCTCTGATAACCTCTTGGAATTGAGGATCGGGACGAGAGGGCGGTGATCCACGACGAGGTCGAACTGTGGAAGTCCTGCCAGAAAGATGTGGCACTTGCGGAGGGCCCACAGGCAGGCCAGGCACTCCAGCTCCACCACCGCGTATCTTGACTCTGTATCTGTAAGGAAGCGGGAACCGCACTGCACCATCTTCCATGTGTCTCCGTGGCGCTGCTGGAGAACGAAACCCAGACCGCGGGTTCGTGCAGAGTCCGTTTGAAGCTTGGTAGGCAGCTGCGGGTCGAAGAAGGCCAGAACGGGTGGCGACACCAGCGCTCTCTTGACGTCCTTGAATGCCTCTTCATGTTGCTCAGTCCATCTCCAGACGGTGTGCCGCTTGAGCAGGTCTCTGAGGGGCTGAGCTGCACTGGCGATGTCTGCTGAGAAGTCGGCCAACTGATTGGTGAGTCCCAGGAACGATCTGAGATCGGTGAGATTCTCCGGCCGCGGGAACTCAGAGATCGCTTGCAGCTTGCGGTCGTCAACCGTGTAGCCCTGTTCCGAGATGCGGTAGCCGCAGTAGTCCAGCGACGGCCGCGCAAACTGGAATTTGCGCGGGTTGATAGTGATGCCTGTCTCTCGGCAGCGTCTCAGGACCGCGACCACGTGAGAGAGATGGGCGCTGTAGGTCGCGTCGTGCAGCAGCAGATCGTCCACGATTTTCAGCGTTCGCGGTATATCTCCGAGCGCTGCGTCGCCCCGCCTGTTGTATTCGTCACCTGACGAGATGAGACCCATCGGGGCCCTGAGGAACTTCATCCGGCCCCATGGAGTTATGAAACAGGTGAGGTCTTGAGATTCCTCGGCGATCGGGACCTGAAAGTATCCCATAGCGGCATCCAGCGTGGTCAGCCACCGCGCGTCCCCGTCGATAGACGCCACTGCGTCGTGAATCGGTCTCACGGGGTAGGCAGGTCTCTTCACGAATCTGTTGACGGCGGTCATATCCACGACCAGTCTGGCTCCTCCCTGGCGTTTTGCAATTGGCACCATGGGGTGACACCACTCCGTAGGGTAGTTCACCGGGGCCACGATCCCTCTGGTGACCAAGTCGTCGAGCTGGCTCTTTATCTCCTCTCTCCAGCAGTATGGGATGTTTCTGGCAGCAGTGAGAGCTGTGGGGACTGCGTCGTCTGTCAGCTCGATGACCATCGGGCCACCAGCCATCTCGCAGAGCGTCTCGTTGCCGTCGAACACGTCTTTGAATTGTTGTCTCAGGGCCGCCTCATGACCTCTGATGACATCGTCTGACGGGTCGTATTCGTGCTCCCATACAGGCTGGGCACTGGCCGCTGTTTGTTGAGACGACGGCTTCGTGCTGGATCCTGCGGCTCCCGCGCCGCCCGCTGTGGTTCCAGCGCCGCCCGCTGCGGCTCCCGTGCCGCCCGCCGCGGCACCCGTGTCGCCTGCCGGGGCTTCCCTGCCACCCGCCGCAGTTCCCGTGCCGCCCGCCGCCCGGGCCGCGGCCACGTGTTGCAGCGGGTGACCAGTAGGCGGCGCCAGGTGTTCGTCGACAGGTGGCGCCGGCGGACGGTCGGGTGGCTGCAGAGGCCGCGCGCCGATCGACTGTGAGCGGACGTGGCTGCCGCGGCTTTGGTCTGGAACGGACTGACTGCGCCAGATGTTGACAGGGATCTGGGCCGGGAAATTGGCGGGCAGGATCCGCAGACGCACGGAGTCGCACCAGCCGAGCAGGAATCCGGTGACCTCTCGCAACACATACACTGTTGTGGCGGTCTGGCAGTCGCCGAAGGTCACCGTGGCGCTGAATTGGCCGATGAAGGTCAGCGGCGTGCTCCCGGCTGACGAAAACTTGATCTCGCCGCCTACCGACCCCGTCATCTTCGTTACGACACCCAGGGACGCAGCCATGTCAGCGCCCATGACCGTAGCTTCCGCCCCGGTATCAGGCATGCATAACACGGCCGACGATCCCGTCGAATGGACGAGTGTCACCCTGATCCGCGGCGTGCGACGTGCAGTCAGTTGGTCCACGTAGATATCTCCGACAATTTGTCGTACTTCGGGTCGGTCACCGGCCGCGTCCGTGTTTGCTGGCGCCGCGCCAGGACCCGTGCCCCGCCCGCGGCGTAACCTTGACCGGCCCCGGCCGGGCGGCTGGTCGCCGGCCGCGCGGTCACGTGATCTGGCATCCTGCCAGCCACGGCCGCCGCCCCGGGGACCGCGGTCGGGCGGCTGGTTGGCGCACACCGTTGCGAAGTGACCGGAGCCTCCGCATGCATGGCACGCTGCATCCATCGCGGGGCAGCGCACGCCGTCAGCGTGTCGAGCTCGACCGCAGCGTCGGCAGGGGTCGTCTCGACGCGCAATGTTGGAGCATGGATGGGCACGCGACCGACGGTACGCCGACAATGCTGTCACGTTAGCCGGCTCGCCGAGAATTGCGGCACTGTTCGCGTTCGCCGACTCACACGCACGACAAATGTCCACCGCCCTCTGCAGCGTCAGCTTCGGCTCATGCAGCATACGCTTCAGCGCCTCCTCGTCACGGATGCCGACCACGATCCTGTCACGGTACTGATCGTCCGCACACTTATCACAAAAGTCACAATAAGCGGCGATTTCCTTGATAGACGATACAAAATCGTCAAACGTCTCATCCGGTTCTTGCACTCGTGAGTAGAAGTCTCGTCTGTCGAGGATGATGCTGCGTTGACCACGCAGATGAGCCTCCATCATGTCGATCACGGTCTTCAGGTCGGCTTCCGAAGGGATCTGGAGGCTATATCGCAGCGTTCGCGTCCACTCGTCGTCGAGCAGTGACATCAGAGCCGCCTTCTGCTCCGCGATAGGCAACGTCTCCAGGTGAGTGAGGAGCCTGAAGTCGTCGAACTTCTGGCGCCACGTGCCGAACTCCTTGAGGGACGCGGAGGAGGTCAGGTGCGGCGTCGAGATAGCGCTCGACGGGAGTTTCGCTGGCGTTGCAGCGGGCTGTCTGCTCTCGGTGACGGCCGTCTCGCTCCGTGCGATCGGCTGTTGCACCTGGTTCGCCAGCGCCCGCTCCAGCATGGTTGCGAGTCGTTCCTCCCGCTGCGCCGCCTGCTCGGCAAGCCGCTCCTCCCGCTGCGCTGCCTGCTCCGACTGCTGGGCCAACAGCGCCGTCAGGCGCTCGAGTTGTGCGTTGTCCGCCATCACTGACGCGAGCGATCCGACACGGCTGCACGTAGTTCAGTATATCTCGGAATCGGTGTCGCACGCTACCGATCACACTACCGACCGCGCCATGTTCTGTTCTGCGCCCGCCGGATCCTCAGTCCGCACTGACACGACACGCACCGCTCTGCACATATATTGCCGGCTCGGACGGCACGCACACCTTGACGGCTCGCTCGACACTGCCCGCTCTCCGCCGGCGCCGGCCGGCGGCCGCTCGGCGGGCCAAGGCCGGGCCCTTCTCATAACGGGGGATGCGGGCCCGTATCATAACACCAGTCACATCTGACATACCTAACTCATGACAAATGGAAGAAAAAGAAAACTCACCTGGTGTGTCTGGTGGTCTTTCAACAAATTTGTATTCACTCATTTTCCAAACTTCAGCTGAAACATCAGATCACTTGATCAAATCACATGCAAAATCTCTTGGGCAGGTACCTATCTAAGCAAAACATTTGGGTGAACTTAAGCAACAGTCTAGAGTCTACCATCTAACCCATACAATAGGTATTTATTAAAATTTCAGCCAATTGAACAGCTCTTATGCCATAGAAAGCACTGAAGAATGATGAACTATGAACTATAAGGACACATCAGTCATTATTTACATCAGTGTTAACACTTACAAGCTGCTACACTGATTCCAGAAATATTTAAGTGCACTTATTGATCAAGAAGTAAAATTTGGCAAGTTTGCTAAAGTACCCACATTCTTTTCAGATTCTGTTCAGACCAAGTTTACAAGCTAAGCCTAAATGAACAGATATTTATTGGACATGTCTACTCCTTAGCCAGGGCCATAGGCATTGAAAATAGCAAGCAATTGATATGATACATATCACATCATCAAACTAATTGGTCTATACACCCATGTCTGTCAACTAGGTAATTTTTACATCTTTATAAATTTAGCAGTTGTTTGAATTGACAGATTAACAGAACCTGAGCCCATGCTAAGCAGACTGCAGGGTGAAAGTATGTGATGTAACATACCTCAACCTACCTAGTGTTTGCGATGTGGTTAATAAACTTCGAAAATTTTGCCTTCACAGGCTCCACATTAAGCATGACCCACATGATTGCATTCCAATTCATAACTCCAGCACTGAGATGCCGGCTCTCACTGCCTAGACGTAGACCCCAGTCTCCAACCCCTACCATCCAATACGATAGTGCCATCCGGGTACCTAATGAAAATGGGAGAATTAAGATGCCCAAGTTTAACATGCACAAGTATCCCATAACTGTAAAATGAGGGACAGACCTGTATGCATATTCTGAAGTCGGTGTTGTTAGGTTATTTCATATTTCAGTCATCTTTTTATGGGGAATATTTGTTTCTGGTCCCTAAAAAGCTGTTTCTGGCACCTAATTGCTGATCAGCCCCAAAATGCTTATTCGACCCTAATATCTGAATCTGGCACCTAATTGCTTCCACACAGCCTAAAGTTGCCAGATCGTCTAGTTGAACTCTGTATTTGCTGTTTGCTGATTCAGCACCAAAACCAAAACTTCCAGCACCTATTTTATTCCACGTTTGCCTTCCTAATTCGCGTAATCTTCCTGATTTTATGTATCCTAACAAACATGAACGCTGCATTCGGTGATGTCAAGTGCCATTTTCGCCAGTGGAGATAATGATTAATGCCATTTCTAGCCAAAAGAGAATCACTAGCCAGCTATGGTGCAGCATAGCAAGACGCTCCTATACCAGCCCGCTATGTAGAGACTAGAGATTATTGCACCCTCAGCCATTTTAACGTGAAAAGTTTGGATCCGTCACTTCCAGCCAGGCTCTCAGGTCATAAACTGGAGTAAAGCAAAATGTACACTCTGAACAGACATGCCACGCAACCGGCCCTCTTTTCAATATTATTAGCTTTCTGCAATCCTCGTCTGACTCCATCTCGATCAAACGCAGCATCCGGTTTCTACAGGGGCGTTTGACTGACCGGCCACACCATAACCAAAAACAAAATCAAAGCTTCATGCACACAAATGACATAAGTAAGAAACGGATGAAAAAGGCACAACCACGGCCACTGGCGGATCCAGGCTTGCGTTTTGGGGGGGGGGGGGCCAACTCATGCAGGAGCCAAACCTAGGGTACCCCCAAATCCTGTTTTCTCATCGGATTTAGGCCACTTATTTTTCGTCACAGCCCTGACACTATGAATTTTTTTTTTAACTAAAAAGAAAAAATATATAAATGGTAGCCCACCCGACCAATGCCTTTATATTACTTTGTAAACACTTACCATTGTTTTTATCGACCAGTTAAAGGGACCCTCCCACCTTAACATTAGATTTGAGCTGAGATAGCCAAAATGGGGTCCCTGGCTCACAATTACCGGTTTCGGCACGCACTCACAACATCGAGAAATGCCTTAAATCGGAAATATTGAATTTCAAAATTGCAGCATTTTGATTCAGAGGGGCTAATGCTTTTGGATACCCCTCTGAATGTGTGACGTCAGCGGAGATCTAATGATTTTTTAATATTTTACTAAAACGTTTGGTAGCATGCGGTGGTATAGGCTGCTTTGCGCGCAACAAATGCCGCACTTTCAAATAAAGTCGCTAGGAACAGCAGCGGATATCCCAAAAAGTAAACAAAAACAAAAGTCTAATCTCTTGAAAACCGGTGAATATTTTTCGATAAAATTTGGTAGATATTCGTTTTCGCCCTTTCTGAACCTAGCGACATCACTTTCATGCCAATTCATTAACTTTTTTGAAGGTGGGAGGGTCTCTTTAACCCGCTTCGAGTCAGTGCTTGGGTCCCTTTGCGGGCCGGGAGGTGGTAAAACAGCCCTGTCTAACTCGGCTCCTGGGCCACGCCCTGATTGACCTATGTTTCATTATCGTTTGGGGGAGGGGGAAAACGGGCCACTTTAGGCCTCTGGGAAGGGGGCATGGCCCTAAATGCCCCCTCCCTGGATCCGCCAGTGTAAGAAGAGACCATTGGAGCTGCAGTTGGGTACCTCAGACATCAGGGTACGCCCTCAGATGTATGTATAGGACTCGCATGGAGACCTCTTATGCTATAGTGTACTGAAAGGACCCAAAGGAGCCTGTCTATATGGGCTCCCGGAGATAGACGTGGGCCCTCAGGAGCCCGCCAGAGCCCCAATGAGGGATAAGTGAGGGATACCAAGTGCATGCAATTGCATATTGCATAAGCCATAACGCCTTTACAAATCAATATATTATGCATCAGTGGCAGATCCAAGGGGGGCCACATGGGTCATGACCCCCTTGGTGCCCGGGGGCACCACAGGCCTGTCAGGGGCACCACCAGCCCGCCAGGGGCACCACAGGACTAGCAAGGGCACCACGGGCCTGTGAGGGGCCCCACAGGCTTGTCGGGGGCACCCCAGGTCTGTCAGGGACACCAGAGACCTGCCAGGGGCGCCGCCGGCCTCGCAGGGGCACCATGGGCCTGTCAGGGACACCAGAGGCCTAGCAGGGGTACCACAGGCCTTACAGGGGCACCACCGGCCTTGCAGGGGCACCTTGGGCCTGTCAGGGGCACCACAGTCCTGTCAGGGCCCAGGGGCACCAGCGGCCTAGCAGGGGCACCACAGGCCTGCCAGGGGCACCACCGGTCTAGCAGGGGCACCATGGGCCTGTCAGGGGCCCCACCGACCTCGCAGGGGGCACCACCGGCCTCGCAGGCATCACGGCATCACGCAGGGGCACCTTGGGCCTGTCGGGGGCATCACGGGCCTGTTGGGGGCACTTTAGGCTTGTCAGGGGCACCCCAGTCCTGTCAGGTCCCAGGGGCATCAGCAGCCTAGCAGGGGCACCCTAGGCCCGCCAGAGGTAGGTACAGCCCACCGCTAAAGTAATGTAGGGTTTTACCAAACTCAACGGTTGGCTTTGACTGGCGATTGTTTAATGCGAAGTGATTGAAAAGAAGATGTCAATAGCTAAAGTTGCAGCTGCAAGGGTGACGATACATATAAGCTACATTCAAAGTTTCATTGTAGTCTGGCTAATCGTTCCTAAGCTTCAGAAGCAGAACATACCCATGACTGAAACCCCACATTACTTCTGCTGTGGACTGTACCACAGGCCTGCCAGGGTCCAGGGGCACCACAGGCCTAGCAAGGGCACCACGGGCCTGTCAGGGGCACCTCAGGCTCCCGTGCCCCCCCTCCCCCCCCCAGATCCGCCAGTGATGCCACACCACGCGAAACACCGCCAACTACCAGCTGCCGCGCCATAAACACGTGCCAACAACAGTCTTTTTTTAAGGTCGACTCCGCTCGCGCAACTTTTGACTGACCCTCACTGCTACTATATTACTTCCATATTATGCTGTGGAAAGCTTTACTTCACCAAGTGGCTAAAAACCTCCATCAAGGTATATTTTCTTAGCAATTTTTCTGGCGTTTTTTGGGGGGGCCAAACAGGCCACTTTAGGCCTTTGGGGGGGGGGGCATGGCCCCCGTGGCCCCCCTGGATCCGCCAGTGACCACGGCACAACTCTGCGCGGCAAACAACGGACAATGTCCCACGGAAGATCCCGCGTTTCTTCAGCGGCCTTGAACGGAATGAGAACATTACATTTCTTTTTTGGAGCTATTTGATTACGTCAAAAATACAATACCCGTTTTAATGGTCAAAATCGAGACAATTACTCACAAAAATGTTTCCCTTTAAGCATTACAAATAAATGCTTTTAAATATTTAAATGACATTGTTTTTTTCAAACAAATCAATATTATTTGCTTACTTAAACGTCATATACAATGCTGAGATCACTACGGGGCTGTCTTAGAGTGTAGCTGCACTGGCAACCTTTAGACTAGACTCCAGGGGTCATTATACCAGAACAACATGATTCTACCAGCCAGTAGTTCATTTTTCTACTAGATTGGTGCTACGCTCAGCATTTAGGTGCCATATTCAGAAAAAAGAGTAAGGCGTACTGATGAATAGGTGCCAGAAACAGCTAATTAAGGCCATTTTCCATGATTGGTGCTGGTATCCACCAAATAGGTGCTGAGGACCAATTTTGGGGCGAGTCAGCTTTTAGGTGCCAGAAATAGCTTTTCTGGGACGCAATTAAATGGCGTCCTCTTTTTATTATTGGCACTTGGCACATAAACCTATGACGCAACAGTGACATTTCTGACGCTTACCTCTATTGAGCATTGAGGGAACAATACCATTCAATACTGGATTAAATGCTCATTTATTTTTATCCTAGTTTTGAGATGTGTTACCTACTTTTATCTGGCATTTCCCGAATAAATGCTGATTCGCAACCACGACACCAACACGACACCACCACGCGCGTTCTCCGAGAAATTAGCGTATGAAAGTGTTCATTGCGCCGTATTGACATAAGCACTAGCGGCTAATCGCATACTCAGGTTGCTATGGTAACTAGCGATTGGTTCAAGAAAGCGCTGTAGAAGTTTTAATACCCGAGGGAAAATACAACTAAGAAGGATATTGAAGAGGCGATTTGTATGCACGTATGTGTACTGTGGTCTGTGCTGTGCAGCATATCATGTCTAGGAACAAGATGCGTACATATATCTGAACAGTTCAACTTGACATGTTTCCATTACCCATGTATCGTTTCCATGTATTTAGGGCCTTGCCATTACCTACAATTCTGTGCACTCGGTACCTCAGCAAAACATGCAGCTTTTTACTTTTCAATACATTCACCCTTAAAGGAAAAGGGCCACCTTCGTGAAATATGAAGATATTGTTGTTTTTTCATTTTGACATTATTATTTTTCATTTTCTTTTTAAAACTGGTGCCAGAAGTGCACAATTCGCGAAAAAGTATTTAAAACTATTTAACATATTGGCACTATGTTGATACTCTCTACGGCACCTACTGTATGATGGCATAGCGATGACGTCACACTCAAGCCAATCAGCGTTCAGAAGACAGACTCGTCGGATTGTGTCAGATAAGCTGATTGGTTAAAGCTGAGCTGGTTGGAGCTGATTGGTAAAAGACCAAAGCCTCGCCGCGGGTGGCTGTATTGTCGGATAAGAACGCATTCCTGGGATAAGGACGCATTCCTGGCGTATTTTCTTTTAAAATTGCCGATAACTACGAATGGAGGCCGAAATCGGCCGTAAGGAGGTAGACAGATAGGTTTTCGGACACGGGCTACAAGATGGCTATCTCAATTTCAATCCCCATGTTAAAGGTGGCCCTTTACCTTTTAAGTCTGAACGTTGTTCTCACTTCACCTCTCGGCTCTCACCCGCTTCATTGGGCTGCCAGGCTCAGACACCCGTTTTCAGTCAAGTGTCTGTAACGTCACTAATAATCTTGTAGCCAAATAGTATCCCACGTTTTCATCGATCGAGCAACGTTTACGTTACATTTGACCGGCCACCCGTGCCCGGTCGCTTGCGTTATGCGTATCTTTGGCCGATATTCGCCCCACACTCCACAGTCAACTATCCGCCATCCGTCACAGCTAAACCCCAGGCCAGTGCCGTTCAGACCACCTAAGCCCAGCTCAGTCCAAAGCCCGCGGCGCAGACCGGCAAGCGTGTCTTCGGGGCGCTCTGCCCAGCACATCAGCAGAATGTTTATAGCCATTCAGCCCTGTAAACGGCTCTGCAGTGAAAATAGCACCGCACCCACGCCGGTCCGTTGCCACCGCGCGCGGCAGCGCCTCGCTGCACGCCAGGCGCGACTTCCCCGGCTCTGTCGCAAACTCTGCGCCGCAGAAACTTGCACGACTCTCGTGGAGTGGCGCGGAGACTCTCGACTCCCAGCGAGTACGTCGGGCGTGACGCGTGGCCGGCGCAACGGCCGCCGAGTGAAGTAATCCCTGAGACAAACGGCTGCGGTGGGCGTCACTTTCGTCGCGGCTGTCACTGAACCGAGCCGTGCAATGGTGATTGATCCGTCTCGAGTGTACGGGCTCATTGCGAGATCAGAAAGGAACCTACACTGTGCATTTAATGAGAACGCTCTAAGGTAAATGGGAAATGACATCGATAAGCTTGATACTCAGAGCGAATATTGTATGTAACATTAAACGTAAAACGCAACACAACTACGAGACCATCTTATGAGTTATAACGCATTTCCATGTCCTCTGTAGGAGGGCAGAAAAATGGTGCATCCTTATTTTACGCACTCGCCAAAAGTACCTAATTTCAATTCCAACAGATGCCTGGCGGCTGGCTGCTGTTCGTGAGTCGAGGACATTTGTCCGTCTTACAGTGTGCGTAACGCACCGTCATTGAGACGGCGTGGTCCGTGCCGCATCTGAGGGTCAGTCGCGCTACGCGAGGGAGGACGCGGTAGGGTAATTACTCGGACCCTCCACACCTATTATCCGGAGCACCTGGTCACGCGGGACCCTCCCCTCCCTCCGTGCCATCTTCCCTTGTCTGAAGACAGAGGGAGGCCGGCCGTCACCTGTGAGCACAAAAACACACCACACCCGGCGCGGCCCGGCGCGGCGCGTTGTTCGCAAACGGCAGACGCTGAGTCCCCTGCTCGCAGCCAGTGCGCGGTAGGCATGACCACGGGATTTGGCTACGCTTATGATGCAGATCGAAAGAAGCTCATGGAAGTTATAGATGGGTAAGACGAACTCGGACGATATCCTCCGGTGTTGCCCGTGATGGTAGGCCTACTGCCTATCGTCTATCGTTGGATAAAGCCAAGACAGTTGAAAGTTCAATGGTCGGTCGAAAGTGCAGAAGTGCGAAAAGGCTGTATGAGTCCATCCGAGTCACTCATCTCTCGGTAAACTGCAGTCCATAGGCCCGCTATCGTTACTCACTTGATGACAGGATACAAAGACCACAAACTGAGTGAAGGTAAACGGATGGCTGACGAGCGGAAACAACCAGACCAGGCTGCAGGCGGCGGAGATGGGTGAATCGAATGCAGTTCTCACTCTAGCACGCCGGCGGCGTTAGTCGGTCGAGTGTGTCCAACTCCGGGCCCAGAGAGCGGCCAGCGGACCCGGAAGCGGCCGCTGTCGATTCCCAGCGTCGCCGCCAGTCCGGAAAGGCGCCGCTCCGGAGCCAAAGAACGTCTCGAACGGACTGTGAGAGTTGCGGTAACAGTCTGCCTCTGTGACCACCAGGCCCGCCCGAGAGGTGGACTGGGACAGTGCATTGCAGTGAGTGCAGGCGCAACCAGATGAGCTAGGATGTGAGGTGGTAACACGGGCTTGGACGACTGTTGTTGACACTGTCACTCTATGTATAGTGTCAGATATCATGTGGTAGCTGACATCACGTGCAGCACACCGTGTGTCGTGTCTGAACTCAGAGGACGCTGATCTCTTTGCAGCAGCTCCAACATCTCACATCGTGCCCGGTGCCGACAGACCGACCGCTGCATTTGCACAACGCCGATGAGGGCGGCAGGGCCAGTTGGGCTAGATCAGCGAACCTCTTCCCGCTGCTGATACCTAGAGGCCAACTCCGTGTAACCGTCTAATCAGCCCGCCCGAAAAAGGAGGGGGGGATGGGTGACCGTCTCAGAGACAGATAGGTGCGAGCCCGACAACAGGCGTCTGGCGGCGGCCCGATAAGCCATACTGTCCGATATGGTATGGATGGGGGGGGGGGGGGCAGGAGAGAGGAGTGGAGAAAGGGGCGGCACTGGCAGCACGCAAACGAGGCGCAGCGATCGAAGGCAGTCGACGAGGAGCCCCGTCCACCGTCCACCGAACTCAGTTGAGCTCCACGACAGAGCAAACACATCAAACACGCACACGTTACTGACGAATCAATCACTTATCACACAGACAGAATACGACGGCGGTACGAACATCGTCGCTGGAGCGGTCGGCAGTGGTAGGTATAAGGTCGGGGAAGGCTCGGATCTCGGGAGGGGGGGGGGGCTGCTCGGGTCGGGGTCGCTACTGGGGATTAGTCTGCGGTCTACCGGCGGGGAAACACCACTGCGCAGCTCTCCCCACGATCACGGCTCCCCTCACGGTCAGTGCCGTGGTCAGCCGGGCCGCGCTGTTTACAGGCCTGCCGTTTCCCGCCGTGGCGGCTCGCTGCCGCTGGCCGCGAGTCAGCTGACAGAGCTCTGTGACGTCACTGGTACGGGACACGGCCTCGTCCGCTGACGCCGTCCGGCAGTCGTCGTGTCACAGTCTGTGGGAGGTGAGGTGCTCGTGGGGCCGCGAGGGACGGACAGCAGCACGGTATCTGTGACTGGAGGAGAGGCGTCCATGGCGAACGTAAGTGTTGCTCCAGCGATAGATGCTGTTCGTAGCCTAGGTGGGGTGGTAAATTGGGGAGTGAGTTGCTGGTTATGTGGGATTCACAGAGTCGCTCGTTACCTGTCAGACCGGTGCAGACTTGTGATCAGCTCAGTTGAGCCGGCTCAAAAATCAGCTCAGCTCATGAGCCGGCTCAACATTTTGCCAAATTGTTGAGCTGTGAGCTGAGCCGGCTCAGTAATGCATTGAGCTGAGCTGCTGTCTGAGCTGAGCTGAATGAGCTTGAGCTGAGCTGAGCTGAATGAGCTTGAGCTGAGCTGAGCTGAGCTGAGCTGAGCTGACTGAGCTGAGCTGAGCTGAGCTGATTGAGCTGAGCTGATTGAGCTGAGCTGAGCTGATTGAGCTGATTGAGCTGATTGAGCTGAGCTGAGCTGATTGAGCTGAGCTGAGCTGAGCTGAGCTGAGCTGAGCTGAGCGAGCTGAGCTGAGCTGATTGAGCTGAGCTGATTTAGCTGAGCTGAGCTGAGCTGATCCAGTTCTAGTAGGTACAGTCCACAGCAGAAGTAATGTGGGGTTTCAGTCATGAGTATGTTCTGCTTCTGAAGCTTAGGAACGATTAGCCAGACTACAATGAAACTTTGAATGTAGCTTATATGTATCGTCACCCCTGCAGCTGCAACTTTAGCTATCGACATCTTCTTTTCGATCCCTCCGGTTTAAACAATCGCTAGTCAAAGCCAACCATTGAGATTGGTAAAACCCTACATTACTTTAGCGGTGGGCTGTACACTGGAAGATGATGAGAACGGATAATAATATAAAACTGAATGCAATGTGCATTGAATATTGACATAGGCGTAGGAACAGGGGGCGGCAGGTCGGCAAGTGCCCACCCACTTTTCGAGGTGGGGGGCCAACCATGTGTTTTGGCCCACCCACTTTTTACTCGAAGCCCCTCGTCTCGATTTGAAAGGACGTCGTCACCTTCCAGAATAAACAAACTCGGTAAAAATAAATTCCACGAATCCCCACGCACGGACTCCAAGGGGCCGTGATGGATCCAAGGAGGCCCTCTGTTCATACTTGTCAGTCGAAGCCCCTGAGACTGATGGCCTGAGAGGCCTTAGTGGATCTGAGGAGGCCCCAATATCCACACTGGTCTGGGGAGGCC